CCTGAAACGTTAACTCTGTTTTCTCCTCCACAGATGCTGCCAGACCTGCTGAGCTTTTCCAACAACTTTGTTTTTGTTCTTAACAAATTTCTCCCCATCCAGGCCCTTACGACTATGACAGAAGCTACAGTTGAAACTTCCATTGCTTTTACATTACCAAAAAAATTGAGTTATATTCATGACGGGATGTCCATTTCTGAAAAATGTTTTAAGACTAGAAAGTATGTAAAACTAATGCACAAACACCGATAATCCATTCCTCAGTATTTTTAAGATAAGTAAATCCATTTATATTGAACAGTTTAATGTTTTCATTGAAACAACAAGTGGAGAAATGCCATGTAAATGTATCAAGCTGCCATATGCTAATGCAATCACTTATATACATGACTTTTTGTTAGCTTATTTGGTCGAGTGATCTTTGTCATTCAAATCATAAGGAATAGGAGCAGGAGTAGGCCAGTTTGTCCATTGAGCCTGCTCCACCGTTCAAGAAGATCATGGCTGATGGGATGTGGCCATAGCTCCATTTGCCTGCCTGTCCCCATAAAACCCTTGACTCCCTTGCCAATCAAAACATTGAACTCAGCCTTAAATATATTCAATGTCCCAGACCTCACTGCTCCCTGGAGAAGAGAATTCCACTGACTAACAACCCCCCTAAAGAGAAGAAATAACTTCTCATCTCCGTCTTAAGAGTCACAGAGTCCCAGAGGCATACAGCACAGAAACTGACCTTTTGGTCCAATTAGTCAATACCGACCATATTCCCAACCTAAACTAGTCCCACATGCCTGCGTTTGATTCATACCTCTGTAAATTTTTCCTATTCATGTACTTATTCAAATGTCTTTTAAACTTTGTAACTGTACCTTTGCATCCATCACTTTCTCTGGCAGTTCATTCCACACACTAACCCACTCTCTGCGTAAAAATGTTGCCCCTCATATCCTTTTTAAAATTTTTCTCCTCTCACCTTAAAAATATGCTCACTAGTTTTCAACTCCCCCACCCTAGGGAAAAGACCTTTGCTATTCACCTTATCAATGCTCCTAATGATCTTATAAACTTCTACAAGGTGACCCCTCAACCTCCTATACGCCAATGAAAAAGTCCCAGCCTATCCTGCCTCTCCTTATAACTCAAACTCTCCATTCCCGGCAACATCCTGGTAAATCTTTTCTGAACCCTCTCTATTTTAATAATATCCTACCTATAACTGGGGGACCAAAACTGCACACAGTTCTCCAGAAAAGGCCTCACTAAAGTCCTGTACAACTTCAACATAATGTTCCAACTCCTATACACAAAGGTCTGAGCAATGAAATATTGTTCCTCTAGCAGGTACATCCAATTACTGCATAAGAACATTTTCTTGTACTCACTTAACAAATTTCTCCCCATCCAGGCCCTTAAGACTATGATGGTCCCAGTCTATGTTTGGAAAGTTAAAATCCTCTGTCATTACAACCCTATTTTTCTAACAGATATGTGAGATCTCCTTACATATTTACTTCTCAATTTCCCACTAATTATTGCGGGGGAGGGGGGGTCCTATAATACAATCCCAACAAGGTGATAATCCCTTTCTTATCTTTAAGTTTCACCCATATAACTTCACTGGATGTTCTGCCAGGAATATCCTCCCTAAGTACAGCTGTAGTGCTCTCCTTAAACAAAAACACCACTCCACTAGAGTGGCATGGTGGATCAGTGGTTAGCACTGCAGCCTCACAGCACCAGGGACCCAGGTTCAATTCCAGCCTCAGGTAACTGTCTGTGTGGAGTTTGCACATTCTCCCCATGTCTGTGTGGGTTTCCTCCCACAGTCCAAAGATATTGGCTATGCTAAATTGCCTGTAGTGCTTAAGGAGATGGCTCTGGGTAGGATGCTGCAAGGGTTGGTGTGGACTTTTTGGGCCAAAGGGCCTGTTTCCACACGGTAGGGATTCTACAATTCCTCATCCTTTCTATCCTTCCTATAGTATCTATAGAACATTACACTGCCAGTCCTGTCTCTCCCTGAACCATCTGAATGGGAGACATCTTATTTTGGCACGTTTCCACCTGGCCATTCAATCATGAGAGGTCAAACATCAGTCAAGCCCCCTCAGAAACTTATATGTTTCAATCAGATCACCTCTCATTCTTCCAAACTCCATAGAGTTTAGGTCCAAACTGCTCATCTTTCCTCAAATGCCAAAATACTCATTCCAATAATCAGCCCAGTGAGACTTCACCAAACTGCTTTTAATGCAATTGTACTCTTCCTTAAATAAGGGCAGCAAAACTTTGCACAGCATTTCTTTATTCAACCACAGGATGTGGGTGTCACCGGCTTGGCCAGCATTTATTGACCATTCCTAATTGCCCAGAGGGCAGTTAAGAGTCAACCACATTGCCATGGGTCTGGAGTCACATGTAGGCCAGACCAGGTAAGATGACAAGTTCCTTTCCTGAAGGGCATCCTGAAGTGAACCAGAGGGGTTTTTCAAACAGTCAACAATGGTTTCATGATCATCATTAAACTCTTACCTCCAGGTTTTTTATTGAATTCAAATTCTACCATCTGCCATGGCAAATATTTTGGCAGAACGTAGCCTGGGTCTGTGGATTCACATCTAGCAATGATACCACTAGGTCATTGTTGGCCGCTTATTGGGAAAACCTATTTAGTTCACTAACGTCCTTAGGGAAGGAAACTGCTATCCTTACCTGGTCTGGCCTACATGTGACTCCAGACCCAAAGCAATGTGGTTGACTCTTAACTGCCCTCTGGGCAATTAGGGATGGGCAATAAATACTGACCTAGTATGAATCTCATGAAATGAGCAAGTGAAAAAAAATCTCTCCTTTGGCAAGTTGAACCAATGTGTCAAGCTAATGTACTGATCTGAAATGGAATCCACTCAGAGCCTCAATAGTATTCATGTCCTCAGGAATAGTGAAGGTAGCATTTTGGTCATATTAATTATCGCCTATTGCAATAAACCCGCATTAGTTTCTGCAGCGGAGTGAATCAAAATAATTGACCATTTGTAAAACGAGAGGAAGAACTATACTTCAGAACTAATGGCGGACTAAACTTGATCTAGAGCAACTGAAGGGAGGTCCAGAGAAGAGTCACTTACCTGAGTATCCAAAAGAAATGCTGGAGATTGGGCTCAGATAGATTCCTTTGCCATAGGCTGCACCGTGCAGCTTGTAAGAGACAGCAGTGTGATCGTTACGACTATAGGTGAGCAAATACTTGGACTGTAATCAAAGGCTTAAGTATATCATAACATTTGCATGGACAGCGAGCTGCATGGAATACAAACAGTATACCTTGTACTCTAAAGCATATGGAATTTTGACCAAAAAGAAAGTGCTCAGGAGGGAAAACTGTTCATATTAATTAAACCCTATTTTTAAATTAGGCAAATTTCCACTATTCCCTACTATGGCTTCCCCTTTCTTTTTATAATCTTTCTACAAAAGTTTAGAGGAAAGTTTGAGAGCACAGTTAATCTCACCAGTAGCTGGAATATGAACTCTGGAGTCTCAAGGCTCGTTATGTCCCCTAACTCTTCCCGATTTCTGGTGTGCCATTAAGCCCACAGCCTCGGACCAACACTGTGTGTGAGGATCTGTTCCTATTCCCTTTTGGCTCACCACAGCCTTTCCCTCTTCCCTCAAGCCCTCATTCCTTGACAGATCAGTTGGTCACCTCCATCAAGGTTTCTTCCAACTCCTGCTCCACACATTTAATCCCCGGTATCAGTTCTTCTTGAGTGGGTGCTGAGGGGAACTAGTGACAAGGGAAGGGCCATCAAGCAGGCGATACAGTCATCTCATCATGACAGCTTCCTTCCTGACAGCTGGCTTCAATGTGATATTACAGCAAGCTTAAGGTCCGGGCTATTTCATCTCTCTCCTGATTACCGTGTAGAACTCAGAGGAGAGAGGAGGTGCCTGTAAAGGTAGCTAGCCTGAGATTGGGAAGAAACATCCAAAGGACAGGAGCATTAATCAAAAATTGTGCTTGTGATCAACAGCCCTGCTAGCTGGAGCACACACCATCGTACATACTTGTTCAAAATCACAACATCTGTTCTGAAAACCTATATAGGTGCAGGAAGAAAAGGGATGGGAAGAACGTACAAGTGACATTTTTGAATCCAATAGCCTCTTAACAATAGGTAAGAGGGTCAGTTAAGCTCAGTTGACTTGATGACTGGCTGGGAATGTAGAGTGATGCCAACAGTGCAGCTTCAATTCTCAACTGTGGTTACCATGAAGCTCCAAATTTCTCACTTTTGCCCCTTGCCTGTGGTGTGGTGACCCTCAGGTTAAACTCAACACCACTTGTCTCTCTCTAATGAGAGAGTAGCTTCTGGGACTATGGTGACTTTAAACATTAAGTAGCACAATGCATGACCATATATTTTAAATAATTGCTGCCTTAAAATGTCAACTGGTTGGTACCAGTTGCACAACAAATTGAAACCTGCTGCTGCCTGTCCTTAGCTTGAGTCTGTAGCTGTGCAACTTGCTTCACTAGGGAGGTGGTGCTCTCTTGGAGGCAGCCCACCCCCTCAGTTACACTCAGTTTGCAGCAAAACAGATGCTACGGAAGTTAGAATTCTGCAATAGAAACATTCTCCAGTGTCACTGGAGTTGATGGTACAAACATTTGAAATTATGCATGCACAGTTGGTTCCAAGGTGTCATTTTGAATGCATTGGGAGCACATACCCCATTATTCAAAAGCAAATATGTTAAACAGAATGGCAATCTGGCATCTGAGTAAATATCAAGCTGACATTTGGCTGCCTAGATTCATCTCAGATTAGGTTACACACAAGTGTTCTTCTAAGGGATGTTTTTAGCTGAAACATGGCCACTGTTTGGATTTAATAACATAAACAGAATAAAGAGGTCTTGAGGAGTCCAGTGATGAGGGAAAGGCTTCAGTGAGCCAAAAGGAAATAGGAATAGAACTTCACACGCAGTGTGTTGTTCAAGGCTGTGGGCTTAATGGCATACCAGAAATCGGGGAGAGTTAGAGGAGGATAACAAGCCTCGAGACTCCAGATTGTAACATCAGGGTGGGAGCTCATATTCCAACTACTAGAGAGATTAACTATGCTCTCAATCATTCCTCTAAACTATCATAGAAAAATAAGCAGTTTCAGGCAGGGGAAGATCTCTTGGAAGTTATTTGAAGACACCAAGAGGACAGATAATCCAATTGTCTCTCTGAAATAACTAACATCCAATAATAGTGCTGTACACATACTGACAGAGCTAGACAGGGTCAACTGGGAAAGACTGCAATGACAACAGCATCAGACATCAGGCCAGTGCACTGTCTAATTATACCCTACAGTTAGCCATTCGCTGTCATTTTAACATAATCATGTTCGAGGTTTATAGAATAAGAGACTATTCAGCCTATCACGTGCGTGTCCGTTCTCTGAAAGCCACCAGAGCCACTCTCTTTCACCAAACCATTTCAGTTTTTAAATTTATTTTTCAGACATCTATCATTTTTTTGTGTATAAAAACTATAATGGATCCTACATCAGCTGTTTCTGGATGTACATCCCATCTCCTAAATGCTCTCTTCAATAAAAATAAAATTCCCCTGACCAACTGATCTCACCCTTTCATTCTTTTAGTTATTTTAAAATACATCATCGTTTGTTAAGTTAAGTTAACCCTAACCCTATCACAGGAAATAAACTAACTCGTCAATACTCTGGATAATTTTAAACATCTTGATCAGATATGCACTTCCCTTTCCTTCCCCCATATTCTCTTTTATAATGAAAGCCTGGTTTTACCTACTTGAATCTCCTCTACAATCTCTCTATCCTTTTGAATGGAGGTTAACAAAAACTAACTTCAATGCTCTAACTGAAAGAATGTTCTTGAGATAGTAAGAATATAATTAATGTTCTTTTATTCCATTCACAAGGAAATACTTACTTGCAATTTTGTATAAGAAGCATTGACGAGGCCATTTCTCAGAATAGAATGCCAGTTCTCAATGTGTGATCCACTGTTAAAGTATAAAAGAGAGAAACAATGTTTAGCACAAATTCCTTACACAGTAAAGCCATTCAATCTTCAACACTTACCAATTGTTAATATTAATTATGGATGTCTCTCTACCTTGAAGGAAGCAGATGCACAGCTATCTCTAGGACAGTAATCCTGATGGGCAGCATATTGGAAGCATTTTTAAGAGCAAACTGGTCTTGCCTTTGAGTCAGCAGGTTACAGGTTTAAGCCCCAATCTAGGCTTTGTGCACACAACCTAGGGTCAACACACTCGTGGACGAGAGCTGTATTTACCTGCGATAGTAGGAACTGCAGATGCTGGAGAATCTGAGATAACAAGGTGTAGAGCTAGATGAACACAGCAGGCAAGCTGACATTTCAGGCCTAGACCCTTCTTCAGCTTTCCTGCTCCTATGATGCTGCTTGGCCTGCTATGTTCATCCAGCTCTACACCTTGTTATCCTAGCTGTATTTACCTTTTCATTTCATAGAATCCCCTACAGTGTGGAAACAGACCCTTTGGCCCAAGAAGTCCACACTGACCCTCAGAGCATCCCACCCAGACCCATCCCCTTATAACCCACCTAATCTACACATCCCTGAACACTACAGGTAATTTAGCACAGCCAATCCACCTAACCCGCACATCTTTGGACTGTGGGAGGAAACCAGAGCACCTGGAGGAAACCCATGCAGACTTGGGGTGAATGTGCAAACTCCACACAGACAGTCACCTGAGGGTAGAATCGAACCGGGTCCCTGGTGCTGTGAGGCAGCAGTGCTAACCACTGTGCTGCTGTGCCGCCGTACCGTCCTTAACTCACATAACAAAGCTGCCGTGCTTTGAAAGTGGTTCACTGATTGTGAAATAAAAGAAGTTGCTGGGATAGTGATTGCAGAGTTTGTTCGGCTGCGACAAGTCACTGTACAACATGATGCACGGTGCGTATGGTTTCTGTCTCTGGCAACTGGTATCAGAGGCTAACAGCCTCGTTCTCTTCTTTTGCAGAGACTGATACAGCAACTTATAAAAGCACCTGTGGTCACCTCATCCAACTAACAGTAACCTCTCGCCTTACCGGCAGTAAATCATATTGCCGCTTATGGATATTCAACTGAAGTGCATGAAGCTATACGAGTGTCATTTTCTCATTATCAAACACTGCAAAGTAATTATTCATTTTCAACCTTTCAGTACGAATCTTTTCCTGTGCATATTACATTATCATGTAACACAAACTATTTGGGTTGTTATGTCTGCGTTTGTTCTGTGGAAGGGCTGTCCAATTAGACCGAAGTGGCTCTGCTTTTCTTCTGCTTTTTGTGTTTGAAGACTTGTGTTTTAAGACTGAATCTGTTTCAGACCAATGGGGTCTGGATCACAACATTTGTATCGTATCAAATGGTAACAGCAAGGGAATTTGGCAATATAACATCAGCAAGACATCTTAGTAGGATTGGTAAAGGCCAACTCTTTATTCAAAGCTCTTATTTTTATTTTGTATTCTCATTTGCAAAGTCAGCAAGGTACTGGAACTCACTGGAAAGCGAAGGTGCTGCCATAGAGCTTTTTGGCAGTGCGAAAACGTGCTTCCTTAGCTGGGGGGCTGCTCAACAGGAGGAACTGGTGCGAGGTGTGCATGAATTTCAACTGCTGTGAAGAGAAAGACATGGCAGGTTCACAAAGTCACAACATGGTAGACAACCTGAGCTCAGCTCCCAACCCCTGCTCTGCCACTCTGTGACACTGATTGATGAGGTGTCACACACAAGGAGCTCTGTGCCAGGAGAAAGAGTCCGACAGTTCCAAACCCCCGCAGCCTGCCCTGAAGGTACTGTCTCCATGCTAGTGTGTGTCTCTCCACCAACGCTATCACCTTAATGACTACCCAGAATGGAAATGCCCAGAGAGAAGGAAATGTACTGGGAGGAGCATTTACACTCAAGCATCTTCCTCCGGAGAAAACTGCATAGTAGTTGAAAGCAAAAATTCTTGCTGATTCTTCTCCCTCCAGCCCAACCTACTTTGCTGGCTCATTCCATTCCCTGGAGTCAATATGGGGCTTCCTATCCTGTACTGCTTTGCACTAGTAAGTCACATCTGGGCCAGAAGCTCCAGGTTCAAGTCCCACCTCAGGATTTGATGGTGAGTTACAATGTGGCTAAATCCATTGACTGCCAAGCTATAAATTTATCTGAGTATGCCTATGGCAAATAGTAAGAGCTGAATAGTTTCTTCATTCACGGAGTGTACGGTAAGCAGGTTGAAAGATTCCCAGCACAGGCTCCTGCTGTGTGCTAGTGTCATCCCTGTCCTGAGGGTCTGCCATAAACAACATGATCGATCAGGCAAGACTAAGAGTTTTTAAAATGTGAGGATCAGTCATTCACCAACTAAACATCCACATAATCAGTGTATATGTTTTCTTCCACTCCTTATTTTCTGGATGTGAAACCCCAAAATTTCACATCAGATGCCAAGTTTGCTGGAATAATTGGCCATAATGTGATACTCTCAATGCAGTCTGAGGTATCACTCACAGCTAACTCCCCACCTAAACCCCATCACCACATCCCTCCTTGTAACTTCAAGCATGACAAAACAGGCAAAATGTCACTAAGTTTAATTCCGCCATTGGTACAGATTGAGGCCTCTGCATTTTTGTGGTACTGGGAGCAAGGGATTGAGGGTAAGGATGTAGTCAAGCAGCCTTACAATAGGAGGTCACAAACACAAACCTCACTCCTGAAATCTTTCTAAGCCACTTCACTGTGGTCAGCGTGAAGGTGGCATAAGGATGGCCGTCGATCCTAGTTAAATAAGGAAATTACAACAGCTTTTGATTCATGGAGTGCAAGCTCTGGGGAATTCTTCTGGTGTGAACTACCACTTGGTGACTGTTAACTTTCCTTCTGACTGATTCATCGGCAACAGGTATACCAGAGATTGAATCAATGGCTAATACATGCCATTCCATAAAATAAAATCTTTTCTTCAGATTTACTGCTGCAAATGACATTTAACCTTGGCAGCAATACCTGCCTATTTTATCCTACGTTGTCCATGACTCTTGAGATGAGAACAATGTTAAAGATCCAATTGTCACCCTGATGACATGCCTCAATCACATAGTTTAGCCTTAGTTTCAATCAAGCAAAGAACTGAGCTGTAAGCTGAATTGTAATGCATACCAACCGAAAGGCTACACTGCTTTTCATCTTCCTGGGATATTACCCACTCAGTTTGGCAGAGAAGACAAAAGAAAAGGCTAGATCTAATCTCAATGACATTTGAGGAGTTGTCTTGCTTTGAAAAAATTATTTGCTTCACTCCTGGTTCTTGACAGAATCGCAGTGTTGCCATTCATCCTACCTGGATGGATAAGGAGGTAAGGCTTGAATGTAGCCTCTGCATCTCACCTTCTGATTGGGAGTGAGTAGAAGGGAGATGTGGCTATCATATTCAGGGAGACAACAGCATAGTGGCAATGTCATGGTCTCGTAACCCAGGAGCCCAGGCAAATGCTCTCCGAAATGAAAACAGAAAAGTAATGGAGAAACTCAGCAGAGCTGGCAACACCTGTGGAGAATGGAATAGAGTTAATGCTTTCCATCCAATAGGATTTCCTTGGAATGGAACAGTCATTGCAGACTCGAAATGCTAAATCTGTATTTTCTCTCCATTGATGTGGCCAGACCTGCTGAGTTTCTCCATCGTTTATTTTAGTTTTCCATCATCCACACTACTTCCTTTCATTTTAAAGCTCTGGGAACACAGGTTCAAATCCCAGCATGGAAGCAGATGGAATTCAAATTCAAATAGTAAAGTCTGGAATCAAAAGCTAGCCTCAGTAATGGGGATCATGAAACTGTCAGCATTTGATGCCAAAAATACATTGGATTCATCAATGTTCTTTAGGCAAGGAACTCTGCTTCTCGTACCTGGTCTGGCCTCCACGTTACTTCAGATGCACCACAATGTGATTGACTCTCAGCCCTCTGAAATGGCTGAACAAACCTCTCAGTTCATGGGCAATTGGGGATGTGCAATAATTGCTGGCCTTACCAGCAACATCTACACCTCATGAAAAAAAATAAATTAAAAAAAGAAATCAATTCCCTTACATCTGCTACCACCTCCAGTGGTTTTCTTTCTCATTGGCAGTGCCAAGATATGCTCACAATGCCCAGCCAATCCCAACACCAGCTGCAAGAATTCCATAACGTTTCCCAAGATTCTTTTTTAAGGAGCTGTTGGATAGAGTTATAGAGTCGTACAGCACTGAAACAGACCCTTTGGTCCACAACCAGTCCATGCCAACCATAATTTCAAACTAAACTAGTCCCACCTGCCTGCACTTGGCCCATATCCCTCCAAACATTTCTTATTCATGGGCTTATCTCATGTTGTAATTGTACCCACATCCACCACTTCCTCTGGAAGTTCATTCCACAAATGATTCACTTTGTGTTTAAAAAAAAATTGCCTCTCATGTCCTTTTTAAATCTTTCTCCTTTCATCTTAAAAATATGCCCCAAATCCCCCACCCTAGGGAAAAGACACCCACCATTCACTTTATCAATGCCCCTCATGATTTTAACAGCCCCAGAAGGTCACCTCTCAACCTCCTATACTCCAGTAAAAAAAAAAATCCCAGACTACCTAGCCTCTCCTTATATCCAAACCCATACCTTGTTTGATACAACAGATTGTTGTATGCCCAGAGATGCAGGTTTTTATTATTCAGCAAACACTGAGTCACCAAAGCTATTTGTGTACTGACTCCTAATGCCCCCGTTGGCCACCAGGAATACGTGAGTTAGCCCAATGACACACACCATTGGAAATATGTGTGAGTCACACTGGTGAAGAGCAAATGGTGTTCTCTAGCATAAAACTAAAGCACAGAGGAAAATCAAGTCTTGTGTATCTTGAGGATTACAATAAATGGTTATCACAACTGAGACCATTCCAGTCTTTGCCTGATGCTTAGATCAGAGATTGAATAGCAATCCAGAAGTCAAGATAATGTCCTGGGGACATGGACTTGGATCACATCTTGGCAGACAGAGGAATTAGAATGCAATGGAAATCTGGAATACAATAAAACAAGAGCCTAATGGTGACCATGTAACCACTGTTGTTTGTCATAAAAACACATCGCGTTCACTAATGCCCTATAAGGAATGAAATCTGCTGTCCTTAAATGACCTGGCTTACATGGGCCTACATATTTCCAATGGTGCAGCCAACGGGATTTGGAACTGAAATAACTTTGGTGACTAAGTGCTTGTTGAGTTTTTAAAAAACCCCACAGCAATGGGGTTGACCGTAACTGCACTCTGGGTAATTAGGGATGGGTAAGAAATGCTGCTCTAGCCAGTGACACCCTTATCCTATGAATGAATAATCAAAAAAATTGGGATTGACAAATGCATGAAGGAACAGGGACACTTTGCAGTTGGCAGCTGATGGAGTACCCATCACAAACCTTCACCTGTCACTTCTCACCAGGGAAGTACACCCTGTCCTCCCTCCCAGTTCTCTCCACTCCCTCCATCCACTTAGCAACAATTAAAGAGCAAGCTGTCAAAATAAGGCTGAAATCTTTAATGTCAGCAAACACACGCACTTTATCCAATGATCATACACCAATACCTACCTGATGAAATACAAGGAACCAGAAATCACAGGCTGAACAGGTTGGGGCTATTTTTCCCTGCAGCGTCAGAGGCTGAGGGGTGACCTTACAGAGGTTTATAAAATCGTGAGGTGAATAGGGTGAATAGCCAAGGTCTTTTTTTTCCCAGCGTAGGGGAGTCCAAAGCTACAGGGCATAGGTTTAAGGTGAGAGGGAAAAGATTTAAAAGGGACTTAAGAGACAACATTTTCACACAGAGGGTGGTGCCTGTATGGAATGAACTGTCAGAGGAAGTGTTGGAGGTGGGTACAATTACAATATTTAAGAAGCATCTGGATGACTATGTGAATAGGAAGGGTTGAGAGGGATATGGGCCAAATGCTGGCAAATGGGACTAGATCAGTTTAGATTACACGGTTGGCATGGACAAGTTGGGCTGACAAGTCTGTTTCTGTGCTGTACAATTCTATGGCTCTATTAACTGTCTCTCTCTTCACTGAAGTTGCCTGACCTGCTCAGTACTTCCATTGATTTTGCGTTATTCCGAATTGGCAGTATTTGCAGCATTTTGCTTCAGCCCAGAATATGACATCCCCTTTAAATGATGCTGCGTTACGAATAGAAAGATAAATTTTGCCCACATATTTTAACGGAATGAAACCACTTACTCTGCTGAGTGGTAGTTTCACAATGTGAGACCTGTTGCTGGAGATAATCCTAGAAAACAAACACAGAACATTGCGTTACTAAGTTTCCATTTAGTTTTCCACCCCACCCCCTGAAAATTCCTCCCTCATCCATCCCAAAAGACAAGGATTATTAATTTGTTGTCAGAAATGATCTGTTGAAAACCGTGTTACCATTGGGAAGTGTAGGATTACACAGGTTTACTGATAATTCTCTCCCCTGTAATTGGTCTCAATCCTTTTTGGAAATAAATTATATTTATATGGTGCCATTCTTGGTTTCATAATGCTCCAAGGTGCCTGAATAGCCAAATTTGGAAATGTTGATGCTGTTGGCCAATTCATTTCTCAACTTAAGGTATCTTTTGTTGAATGTTGCACCCATTGAGGGACACATAAAGCAGCCAAAATGGCAGTGGGGAGGGGCGAAAACCAAACCAAGTTGTGAGATGATGTGATGGTTCAAGGTTTGTTCAGTTCTGCTTCTGAACATCTGCAGGAACTTTGCGCATAAACTGTCAAAATTACAGAAGCCAAGGAGGAGAAGCTCTGAGGAATCATTGGCCTACGCAAGACCAAATTCAAACCCTTTATGGTAGACCGGGAGAGGCACAACCATTGTCTGGTGGTGGATTGTTTGTTCTTTGGACTGGAGGCCTGTGACCAGATGTGTTCCATAGGGATCAGTACTGGGTCCACTTTTGTTTGTCATTTATGTATACGACTTAAATCAGAGTATAGGAAGCATGGTTAGCAAGTTTGTGGATGACACCAAAATTGATGGTATCATGGACAGTGAAGAAGGTTACCTCACAATATAAAGAGATTTTGATCAATTAAATCAATGGGCTGAGGAGTAGCAGATGGAGTTTAATTTCGGTAAATGCGAGGTATTGCATTTTAGTAAAACAAAAAAGGGCAGGACTTACACAACTAATGGTAGGGCCTTGTAGAACAGACAGACCTAAGGGCTCAGGTACATATTTCTTTGAAATTTGCATGACAAGTAGACAGCATGATTAAGAATGCATTTAGCACACTTGCCTCCGTTGCTCAGACCTTTAAGTTGAGACATCATGTTGAGGTTGTACAGGACATTGGTGAGAACACTTTTGGAATACTATGTGTGGTTCTGGTCACCCTGGACATTATTATGTGGGAGAGGATTCAGAAAAGATTTACCACGATGTTGCCAGGAATGAAGGGTTTCAGTTACAAAAATAGGTTAGTTAGGCTGGGTCTTTTTTCATAGGAGCACAGGAGGTTCAGGGGTCACCTTATAGAAGTTAATGAAATCATGAGGCATAGATAAGGTGAATATCAAAGGTCTTTTCCCTGAGGTGGGGGAGTTCAAAAGTAGGGAACATAGTTTGCAGGTGAGAAGAGAAAGACTTAATAAAGACAGGAAGGGCAACTTTTTTACACAGTAAGTGGTTAGTGCGTTGATTGAACTGGCAGAGGAAGAGATGGATGCGGGTACAGTTGCAATAGCTAAAAGACATTTGGATAAGTATATAAATAGGAAACGTTCGGAGGTAAATGGGCCAAATGCAGGTAGGTGGAGCTAATTTAGTTTGGGAACATGGTCAGCGTGGACTAGTTGGACCGAAGGATCTATTTCCATGCTGTATAACTCTATGACTCTATGACAGCCTCATGAGATGTCACGCACTGCAGCAGACGGTCATCCTCCCATGATAGAGTATGAAGACTAATTGTCCTATCTGACGTACAAAAGGAGATTGGTATTCGTGGGGAAACACTGGTCAGAGGATTGGAGGCCCACATTGCCCAAGTTTCCTCTTTAAGCAGTTCAGTTGCCCTGAGACCAGTCCCCAGCCCCTCGCTCTCTGATCTCCATTACTGGCACCAGCTCAAACAACACTTTGATTATTAAAATTCTCAACCTTGTGTTTGAACCCCTCCATAGCATCACCATTTCCCACAAACTCCGGTTCAACAACCCTCTGAGACCTCAGCACTGCTCTAATGCTGGCCTCTTGTGCATTCCCAATCAGAACATCTTCCACTCATGGCAGTTGTGTTTTCAATCCCCAGCCCCCTGAACTCTGGAATTCCCTCTCTAGCCCTCTTTGCTTTCCAACCCCATGGCTCTTCTTGAAAGTAATCTCTTTGACCAATCTCTTGTTCATTTGATTTAATTTCTCCAGAGGTTGATTGGTGTAATACTTGTTCAATAATGCTCCTGTGAAGCACTTTGGGACAACTCATTACTTTAAAGGTGCTCTGTAAATAGAAGCTGTTGTTGTAAATTGATGGGAAATGAACTCCCAAGATGTTGTGGAGTCTGGCCATTCTTTACCGCAATCACGATTGTCAAAAGTTATCATTATCATTACTATGTTATGATTATGTGATTATCATTATATAGAGATGATGTGAAATTTTCCAGTCGGATAAATCTATATAAGTAATGAAGAGGATTGCTGAGGGCAGATTGGAGGACCTGATCTAAATGGACTTCAGTAAAGCACTTAACAAGTTAACAAGGTTAGATCACACTGAATAGGGGGACAACTAACTATTTGGATGAAGACCTGGCTCGATGGTAGAAGAGAGAATGGTGGTGGAGGGTTGCTTTTCAGACAGGAGGCCCACTTAGTGGGGTGCCACAAGGATCGGTGTATATAAATGATTTGGATGTGAACATAAGAGGTATGGTTAGTAAGTTTGCAGAAGACACCAAAATTGGTGGTGTAGTGACAGCGAAGAAGGTTACTTCAGAGTACAACAGGATCTTGATCAGATGGGCCAATGGGCCGATGAGTGGCAGATGGATTTTAATTTAGAATTTGGAAAGGTGTCGCATTTTGGAAAGGCAGTTCAAGGCAGGGCTTATACACTAAATGGTCAGGTCCTGGGAAGTGTTGCTGAACAAAGAGACCTTGGAGTGCAAGGTGGAGTCACAGGTAGATAGGATAGTGAAGATGGCAGTTAGTATGCATGTCTTTATTGGTCAGTGCTTTGAGTACAGGAGTTGGGAGGTCATGTTGCATCTGTACAGGACATTGGTCAGGCCATTTTTGGAATACTGCATGCAATTCTAGTCTCCCTGCTGTAGGAAGGATGCTGTGAAACTTGAAAGGGTTCAAAAAAGATTCCAAAGGATGTTGCCCGGGTTGGAGGGTTGGAGTCATAGGGAGAGGCTGAATAGGTTGGAGCTATTTTCCTTTGACCATTGGAGGCTGTGGGGTAACCTTATAGAGGTTTATAAAATCATGAGGGGCATAGATAAGGTAAGTAGACAAGATCTTTTTCCCAAGAGTGGAGGAGTCCAAAACTAATACTTAAGGTAAGTACAAAACTACTTAAGGTAAGAGGAGAAAGATTTAAAAGGGACCTAAGGGGCAATCTTTTCATGCAGAGGGTGGTGCGTGTATGGAATGAGCTGCCAGAGGAAGTGGTGGGGGCTGGTACAGTTACAACATTTAAAAGGCAACTGGATGGGTACATGAATGGGAAGGATTTGGAGGGATATGGGTCAAATGTTGGCAAATGGAACTGGAATTTTTAGATATCTGGTCGACATGGATGAGTTGGACTGAAGGGTCTGTTTCCAGGCTGTACAACTCTATGATGCTATAAATGCAAATATCATTACTATAGAGGGGAGACAATGGCCAAGTGGTATTATCGCTGACCCATTTATCCAGAGGCCCAGGTAATGTTCACAGGGTTTGAATCCCACCATGCCAGGCGATGAAATTTGAATTCAATCAAGAAAAAAATCTGGAATGAAGACTCTAATGGTGACCTTGAATTCACCGTCCATTGTCAAGAAATAAACCCATCTGGTTCACTAACCTCTTTAGGGAGGGAAACTGCCACCCCAACCTGGTCTGGCCTACATGTGACTGCAGACAGCAATGTGGTTGACTCTTAACTGCCCTCTGGGCAATTAGGGATGGGCAATAAATGCTGGCCTAGCCAGCGAGACCCTCATCCAATGAATGAATAAGAAAAACAATCAGCATTGTAGGTTTGGAGTTTGACAAGTAGCTGTGATGTTTAAATATTAACCTTGTCTGTGTCCTCGTGTTGAGTTAGCCCTTGAATGAATCCAAGTCATCATAGCCCATCAGCAGGCACCGAGCTGAGTTAGTAGACAGTACATGATGCTTTAAATTTTGAGTTTGGTCCCAAGACCATTTTAGATCTGAAATAGAATGTAATTTTGGATCTTTCAACATCCCAGATTCAGCAGATGTCTACCAATGCTGAAAGGTTGGTTCGGTAGGGCGTGTGGGGAAGAAATTTACTATATTGTGCAAACGGGTGGGAGTGTACACTTTCACTGAAAGCATTTGAAGCAAAATTTGGAGCGGGTAGAGGGGAGGTGGTGAATGAAAGGGAGCAATTGGAAGCTCTTTCATCAAGCTGGCACAGGCAAGATGTGTTGAGTGTCTTTGATCTCTGCCATGAGGTCTGTGACCTCCTCTGAGATGATGCAGTACACCTTATTTGATTACACAATGCCCTAATGGGAAGATGTTGGCATAAAAGTAGTCAACACTCCCTCAAAGCTGCAAGTTTGTTCACAGCCGCTCTCTGAGATTCCACGCATGGGGGTTGACATTAGCACGTGAATCTCGGCACTGACTCTCGGAAATCTGGAAACCACTGCTGTGCATAGACGTTAGTGCAACTGGAAAGACAATTAGAGGAAACGCTGGTGGCGATGTCACTAACTGAGTAATCCAGAAGTTGAAGCTAATGCGCTGGGGATATGGGTTTAAATCCCATCTGAACACTTGATGAAATTTATATTCAATTAATAAAATCTCAAACTGAAAGTGTAAAACCATAATAGTTGAAAACCCATTTGGTTCATTAATGTCCTTTAGGGAAGAAAATCTGCCATCCTCACCTGTTTTCCCTCAGGATGTTTTCATTGGTAGGAGAGACCAGGACCTGAGGGCACAGCCTTAGAGTAAAGGGAAGGCCTTTTAGAAAGAGATAAGGCAAAACTTCTTCAGCCAGAGAGTGGTGAATCTTTGGAATTCACTGCCACAGAAGGCTGTGGAGGCCAGGTCATTGAGTATATTTAAGGCAGAGATAGATAGGTTCTTGATTGTCAAGGGGATCAAGGGTTATGGGGAGAAAGAGGAAGAATGGAGTTGAGAAACTTATCGGCCATGATTGAATGGCAGAGCAGGCTCGATGGGCTGAATGGCCTAACTTCTGCTCCTATGTCTTATGGTCTCTTATATGCAGGATTGAGGAATGCAACTCCACAACAGTTCAGGAAATGCATTCCAGTTCTGTTGGGTACTTGTATGCCAGGCAAAATAATTAGGCTTGTGCACATAGTTACTTACAGAAGAATGAATCAAATTGAAGCCAATCAAGTAACAGGTTCTGGAATCAATTCACAAAGGTTCGAACAGAAAGATCAGATGAAATCCTCTGAAATTGTCCTTGATGAACTTCGAGTTGAACAAAAAGAACATGGGCTGGATTTTACAGGGCATTGATATCATTGATGATGGCCTAGTGGCTTTATCACTGGTCTGTTAATCCGGAAACCCAAATAATGTTCTGGAGACCAGGGTCCAAATCCTGCCATTGCAGATGGTGGAATTTGAATTCAATAAAAGTTTAGAATTAAGAGTCTAATGATGACATGAATCTATTGTCAGCTGCTGGAAAAACCCATCTGGTTTACTAATGCCCTTTAGGAAAGAAAACTGCCATCCTTACCTGGTCTGGTCTACATGTGACTCCAGACCCACAGCAATGTGGTTGACTCTTGGCAGCCCTCTGGGCAATTAGGGATGGGCAATAAACGTTGGCCTGGCCAGAGATGTCCTCATCCCGTGAACGAATGAAAAAGAAATCGCCCTAGTTAAAAGGACAATTGTGGGAAGCCCTCACTCTCACAAGTTGCCCTGTAACATGTTTTAACATCGGGAACCAGGCAGTTGCTTTAAAGCAAAACTTTAACCCCTCTCTCAGCTGAAAGAGCTGCCGGTCAGTCAGAGAGTTGGAATCATAACTGGAATTCATCATGCAACTGGAAATATTTCCCTTTCATCTTTGTTGGAATTATTGTGTCTGGCTAGCAAATTGATTCAATCTTGTCGTCTTTGTTTATCTCCCCATTCACAAATGGATAGTATCTTTTCTACGCTGCAAGCTAAGTAATACAACATCACTATGTCTGCAATGTCAAAAGGCACACACTATGAATTACCATTGTAGCAATGGGTGAGCCAGTGGGTCCAGCTTGTCCATTTGTTTCTTGATTTCCAGGTATGACCCCTAGAAGAGATACGATAAGTTGTTAACCCTACAGGGAAGCATCACTCTTTAACCTCAACTTCAGTGTGGCCTAATCAAAATCTTACAAAGCTGCAACATGACATTGTTACCCTTGTACTCAATTCTCACTAATGAAGGCAAGCATGCCATGCACCTTCTTTACCACTCTATCTACTTGCATGGCCACTTTCAGGGAGCTATGGACTTGAACCCCAAGATCCCTCTGTACATCAATTCCGTTCAGGGTGTTGCCATTAACTGTATATGTTTTCTTAACATTTGATTTCCCAAAGTGCAGCAGCTAACACTTACCTGTATTAAATACAATCTGCTGTTTCTCCACCTATATCTGCAACTGATCCATATCTTGCTGTATCCTTTGACAACATTCTACATTATCTACAATTCCACTGACCTTTGTATCAAACTTACTAAGCCAACCATCTACATTTTCATCCAAGTCATTTATATACATCACAAACAGCAGAGGTCCCAGTACCGACCCCTGCGGAACACCACTAGTCACGGACCTCCAGCCTGAAAAACAGCTTTCCACCACAATGCTCTGCCTTCTATGGGCAAGCCAATTCTGAATCCACGTGGCCAAGTCACCGTGGATCACATGCATCTTAATCTTCTGGATGAGCCTATCATGAAGCACTTTGTTGAAAGCTTTACTAAATTCCACTGCTGTACCCTCATCGATCACCTTTTTCCCCTCCTTGAAAAATTCAATCAAGTTAATAAGACATGACTCACCCTGCACAAAGCCATGCTGACTGATCCTAATTAGGCCATGCTTTCCCAAATGTGCATAAATCCTATCCCTAAGAATTCTCTCTAATAGCTTCCCAATGACCGATGTGAGACTCACCGGTCTAAAGTTTCCTGGATTTATCCCTATTTTCCTTCTTGAACAGAGGAACAACATTAGCTCCTTGTCAGTCCTCAGTGATCTCTCCAGTGGCTGATGAGGATACAAAGATCTTGGTCAAGGCCCCAGCAATCCTCCCTATTGTCTCTTTCACTAACCTAGGGTAGATACCATTGAGCCCTGGGGACTTATCCACCTTAATGCTCTGCAAGAGACCCAACACCACTCCATATCCTTCTCCCTGGTGAATACTGATGCAAAGTACTCATTTAGGATCTCACCCACATCCTCTGCCTCCAAGCACAAGTTCCCTCCTTTATCCTTGAGTTGTCCTACCTTCTTCCTAGTTATCCTCTTGTTTTTAATGTACGTATAGAATGCCTTGGGATTTACTTTAACCCTTTTCTTAAGAGCAATTGTAAAAATGTGCATAGAGGGAATGGGACATGTACAAGTCACACATAAATGGTTGTGTCTGGCCTTTTTACCTGAAACCTTTTGCTTCATCTGCACAGATGGAAGCAGATTATTCTGAATTGTTTCTACCACTGTGTACGTACTAAAATCAAACAGCATTTGCGCTCTGGTCAGGTTGCACCTTAAACTTTTGTGACTAATATTAGTATTGAAGTACAAAATGGAAATTCACACCCTGGAGATGATGCAAAAGGAGACACAAGACTGACCCCTGGCATTTAGTCACTGATTAACATGGAGCCACTGGAGACTTCAGCTTCCCAACACCAAAAGGATATAACTTGTAGGTGACCTTAGCAATTCCTAAGTTGCTAAATAGTACAGAAGGGTCCTGGTGGGACATTACTTCGACGTAAATCACAAGGACACAGGGACAGAAAGTTAAAACTGCAAAAGATATGTTTAGGACTGGTAATGGAGTTCATAAGATTGGAGGCAAAATGTTAATGGAGTCAATTAAACAGCTGCTTACGGTATTGGAAGAGTGCAGGTTGGACTTGGATGAATGTACTAGGGAGGTTTGAGTGGGCTTTACCATTGTCGTCTCTCTTCGGATCTCCTGACTTGACTTCCTTAGCACGGCCAATGTACTTAACCTGCACATCTTTGGAGTGTGGGAGGAAACTGGAGCACCTGACAGACAGTCACCAAAGGCTGGAATCGAACTCGAGTCCCTGGCACGGTGAGGCAGCAGTGCTAACCACTGAGCCACCAATGGTGCTGGCATTGACAAGAAAACTGGGAGATTGGCCCTGAGGAGCTTCCCACTATCGAGAGTAAGAAGCCCCATTTTCGAACCAAGCATTGACCCAATGAGGTGAGATTCTCACCAGTGAGCAGTGACAGGCATGATTTATCATCCATCAACATCCTCATCGACAGGCAACTTTCCATTCTCCCAGCGGCTGGGTAGAAACTTGATAGTGACAAATTCCCAATATCAAAGTAAGTCAGAGAGATAACCTGGTGACTCCAGCTCACTGCTCACTTCTCTGAAACCCCCAGAAGGCACCATCCTCTGAAGGCAGCTTCCAGGGGTAGGGTTCATGTGCGTTACACACTCTCCACCCAAGCAAGACCCGGTGATAAAGCGGGGGTGCCAATTACCCCCTCCCCCCCAGGTCCAATGTCCTTGGCAAACAAAACTAACCACGAAGAGCAGCCGTGGACTGCCATCGCTTGGCCGGCTGCACGCCTGGGACCTTAAAGATGGACTCGGTGACCAGAATCCTATGAGGCCCCAACAATGCTGGCACCTGTGCCGAGTGGAATAACAGCAGAGGCACGGTGCATAGTTCGTAAGGCGAGTTTGGGGGGACTGTGTGAGAGGACATTAGGACTCACCACAAAACTCAGCAAAAACAATATTTAGGCTATTTCTGGTAAGATTCAGCTGTTTTGATTTTCCCCTTTTCCTTACAGTCAAAGGATCTAGTTGCAGGTTTCCCCGTTGCTGTCTCATTGATAATTGACTGATGAGAGGTGCCAAAAGATGCTTAAAGTTGAGTTCTACACACTTCAGGTCTCACAGACAACCTTTCAATTTTCTTGTCTGTTATTTTAACGTCTGCCTTTACTTCAGTTTTTTTCTTCATCCTTCAGTTATTTGATTTGACAGCATCTACTTCTTCTGTGGAGCTGTTAGAAGCTGCAGGCATCTGCTTCGTATTTGTTGACAATCACCAGTCACTCCTGTAGACCTTTAACCAAGAATCAAACATTTCCAGATATTATAAATCTCAGATGTGTGGGCGCTTTTTGACAGTGATATGTCTTACTCTGTCTCTCAGGCAGGCAAGAGACGAGGAAAGCTTTGCAGAAACTCAGTTTCAAAAGAGTCCCCTTTATGAAGCTCATTCAAAATCAAATGAAGCACCTTCAGATGTGCAGGTGAAGGGGCAGGCATGTGTGTTTTACGTGAAGTGCATGTTTCTAAGAGGACTTTTTGCCAAAAATAAAAGAAACCATGGGATGTACGCTCATAGTTCTTTCAAAGTGGAGTTGGAGGTGGACAGGGGGTTGAAGAAGGCATTTGGTACACTTGCCTTTATTGGTCAGTGCATTGAGTTGGGAGGTCATGTTGCAGCTGTAGAGGACAAATTGGTTGGACCATTTCTGGAATTCAGCATTCAATTCTGGTCTCCCTGCTGTGGAAAAGATGTTACTAAACTTGAAATGGTTTAGAAGATGTCAACACAGTGCGGAGTTGGTGGAACACAGCAGGACAAGGAAGTTGCAAGGTTTGGAGATTTTGAGTTAATGGCAGAGGCTGAATAGGCTGGGGCAATTTTCCCTGGAGCATCGGAGACTGAGGGGTGATCTTATAGGGGTTTATAAAATCATGAGAGGCACGAACAAGGTGAATAGCCAGGGTCTTTTTTCCGTAACAAGATAAAGGGTAGTGACATAACATGAGCAATGTTGACCTACCTGTGTCATTTCTCTGATGGACATTACACTATCCAGTGCTTTCTGTAGCCTCTCATAGTTCTTCTTCTGTAAATGGGCAACAGGAAAATGGTGAGACACAGTTCATGCAGTGGATAACAGTGTGACGGTGATAGCAACTCATAACATATTAGAGCTGCCAATATTGCCAAAGCTGAGGCCAAAATTGCCTCAGCAGAGTCTCATAGTTAACGCCCAAGCTGTTGAGAGGCGCAAATTGAACAATGAATTGGTTCGTTAACAGGACATATTAAAGTAAAGCTGCCATAGCCTTACCAGACCACAAGACTGCTTTCTCAATGGAGAGAGAGAGAGACAATTGATGGTAGCTTAATCTATAGATCACCACATCTCAGGTAAGGGGAGAGGTTGTGAAAGAGAGTATTTCATGGTAACCTAAGCCAATGGACTAATTGAACCTGCGCTGTTAGCATCATTCTGAATTGCAAACTAACCATCCAACCAACTGAGCTAACCAACCCCGACAGGAAATAAAGTTTGGAGATCAAATTTCAGATAGACACACGACCCAATGAACCTTTTCACTGAGCATCTCTAAACAGTTAACTAATCTTATGGTATAATTCTTCCAACTTATCCCACCAAGTCATGGATTCACCAGGACTTTGTCCATATTTACTGGAGGTCCACATGAAGAGGTTGTCAACAGAAATGTCTGTTGATGGCTAAACAAAAAACTCTGAGATGGTAAAGTAGAAACTGAACAAAGGATTAATGTCAGTAAAGTCTAACTGCTCTGTTAAAAACAGGACAGGGTGGCTATGATGAACTGGGAGGAGTCTTTATACAAAAGTACCTCGGCTGAAGAACTAAAGTAACTGCATAAAAATGAAATAAAATGATACGCTAAAATGTTTCTTTGGTAGTACCGTACTTTGCCTGAAAATCATTGTCTTGCGCTCATCAGGACAGGTCATAAAAAATACAAATGTAAAGTAGAATCATTAAATGAGAAGAAACTGCTGATTGGTTGGCTCTGAGTGATAGGGACATTCCTATGGAGAATGCACCAGTTACATAATGGCTGACAGTTAACTGCCAATCTTAGTTCAAATGTTAAACCAGGCAGGTTTACTCATTCCCCTGACGAATGACACAGTGCATGGCTGTCATTCGATGAGTTCATCTGAAACAAGTACAGCATGTGTTCTTTCTGAGTGCAAAGAATAGGGCCCTGTGTATTAATATACCTAGGCTCCAGTGCATGGAGGTAAGCCATGCTGTGAACCCAACAAACCTAAATTCTTAGCACACTCAGGATTAGCTAGCAAATGCGATCTAATTGCAGAATCACATCTAATGCTGGACACTGTATTTTGATTTCTGCAAGCACGGGTTAGTGGTTCATGGTCAGTACGTTGCTTGTTGCAAAGAGCAAAAGGGCTATGATTATTGACATGATCCACCAGTCCTTCCAAATAACATCTGACATACTGGCATCATACCAGTATTGACATTCATATACCACATTACTCATTTGCATGATGAATAGTGTGTCTCCATGGCTTGATGGCAGCGTCCTGTTAGCGACAAGCACTAAATGGGGTTGCTATTGCATTGCTAGCACTGAAACACCTGGCTTCACCTGTTGATCAAACTTTGAGATACCTCATTCTTCCACCCTGAGGTAGTTGGGCACTTTTCAGAACCAAAGGCAGTGGCCTTAGACCTGTTCATTCTCCATGGCAATACCTCTGCCAATCAAAGTCCCCTTGCCAACCACTGGCAGATTTCACATACAGTCATATTGTTGTTCCCTTTATGTTACCACTTCTCAAGTTTCAACAAAATGTGTCTTCTTTCAGTAACGCATTAAAGTGCTACATCTTATATTTTAATTGTATAATTTAATGCTGCACTTTACTGAAAAGACAAGTCTTGTAAAACTTACAGCAGAACTGGTAGGAGCAGGAATAGCTCTTCAAGCCTGATCTGGAGTCAATAAGACTATGGTTGATTGGATTGTGATCTTTAACTCCAATACTAACTTGTTTCTAATAAAAAAATCACTCGTCCCCAATTTAAAAGTCTGACTTTCATTGAATATATTCAATAGTTCAGCTTCCACAGTTATCTTTGAATAGCGAATTTGAAAATTTCACGAACTTCACAGATGAGTTTCCTCTTCACTGCCATAAACATATCAGCCCATGATTGAATGTTGGAGCAGACTCAATGGGCTGAATGGACTAATTCTGCTCCTATAACTTATGGTCTGAATTATGACACCCCTTATTTTGACACTGTACCTCCTGGTTCTAGATTCCATCAGAGGAATCATCCCAGTTTCTATCCTGTTAAGCCCCTCAGAATCCTACATGTTTCAATAAAATCTCCTCCCATTCTTATAAACTCAAATGATTGTTGGCCCAAACTGCTCCTCCTTCCTTCAGAAAATAAGACCTTTAAACTGGGAATCAACTTAGTAAACCTTTTCTGAATTGCCTCCAGTGCCAGTATATGCCAGGGAACAGAATTTCCCACACTGCATCACCAATGCTCTGGACAGTTATAGCAAGACCTCCTTACTTTTATACCCCATTCCTCTTGAAATAAAGGCCAATATTCTACTTGACATCCAAATTACTTGCTGTCACTACATCGTGTTCCATGAACAAAGGACATACTGAAAATTGGTCTTTTATTTACTTTTAGACCACAAAGTAGAAAGCAAGGAGGTTATACTGAACCTGTGTAAAATACCAGTAAGACCTCAGCTGGAGTATTGTGTACAGCTATGGATGGCCCATTCGAATAAGGATGTATATGCACTGGAGAGCATGCAGAAGAGGTTTACTGGAATGATTCCAGCTTTATGAAACTTCAGTGACGAAGATAGATTGAAGCAGTTCAGACTATTTTCATTGGAGAGAAGATTAACAGGAGATTTGATAAAAAGATTTGAAAAACATGAGGGGTACTAACTGAGTAGATAGAAAGAAACTGTTCCTGCTCATAACAGAAGGGCACGGGTTTGAAGTAATTTGCAAAAGAAGCAAATGTGAATAGAAAAATACTTTTTTCACTCATTGAGTGGTCAGAGTCTGGAATGCACTGCCTCGAAGTTTGGTGGAGGCAAGTTAAATTGAGATATTTAAGAGAGCGTTGGATGATTATTTGAAGTGAAACAATTTGTAGGGTTATGGGGAAAAGGCAGGGGAATTGCTCTAAGTTATAATAGTCCTTCAAAGAGCCAGTGCAAGGAAAGGGTGCTGAAAAGGGTGAGTGGCTCTTTTCTACACTGCTACAAATACGTAATTAGAATCAGTAAAACCTTACAGTGTGGAAGCAGGCCATTCAGCCCAGTTAGCTCACACCAACCCTCCAAAGAGCATCTCAGTCACACCCACTCACCCTACCCTATCCCTGTAACCCTGCATTTTTCCATGCGTAATCCACATAACCTGCACATCTTTGGACTGTGGGAGGAAACCAGACCACTCAGAGGAAACCCTCGCTGACATGGGGAGAACATGTAAACTCCACACAGACATGGAATTGAACAAGGTTCCCTGGCGCAGTGAGGCAGCAGTGCTAACCACTGAGCCACCATGCCACCCCGCCATCAATTCTATACTAGTGGGAAGTAGAGGAAGACAGAATGAAACAAGGGATCAAAAACTCCAAAAACTCCAAGCTACAGCAAGGGAAGGATAAACAGAAGTGAAATGAATGAGATGGTTTCATCCAATTACAGAAAATGAGCTACGATTAACAGGCTCCAGCCTGATGTAAAGCTTTTCTGTTCAGTAAGAGCTCACCTTGGGGTTGAACGCAAGGGTTTTGGGATCACTTGGGTCCACAACAGAAGGGTAGGGCTCAAATATAATGCTTTTCCTCGGAGACTCCAGAGCAGCTCGACACATTGCAACCAACAGGTCTACCACCTGCAGAAGAAAGAATCCTCATTATTGTCTCTGAAACAAGAAGCTTTCCCTTCCTTTGGCCTGAATTTAGCATTAAGCGAGGTAATTCAATGGAAGAAGTGTCCCTGGCCCATATTAAAGGCAATAGTTAACGTGTAAAAGGTGCCATCCTTGCCATTTAGAGAGCTGGTGATAGTCCCACATCACCTTCTTTCGGGAAGACCTGTTATATTTAATATCCATTAGGAAATTCTCAGGCTACTGGGTTAGAAACCATAGAAATGATACAGCACAGGAGGGGGCCATTCAGTTCCTTTTGTCCATGCCAACCCAGATGCCCTTTTTAATTCCATCTTCCTATGCATGATCCATAGCCCTACAGCTTACAGCACTTAAGGTGCAGATCCAGGTTCTTCATAAAAAGAGTTTAGTGTCTCTACCTTCACCACCAGCTCCAGTCACTCACTGCCCTCTGCATAAAAATGTTTTTCCTCACGCCCCCTCTAATCCTTCTGCCACTCAGCTTCAACCTATAGCTTTTGGTTTTTGAAATCTCTACCGAAGGGAACAGGTTCCTCCGTGCTACTCTATCTCTATCTCTCACAATTTTGTATACCTCAGTCATGTCACCTCTCATCCTTCTCTGTTCCATGGAAAGCAACTCTCCAATCTCTCTTCTTATCTACAATTCTCCATCCCTGGCAACATTCTTGTAAATCTTCTCTGTACTCACAATACTTCCCATGATGTGGTGACCAGAACTGCACACAAGACTCCTGTTGTGGCCTCACCAGTGTCTGATACTTACATATTACCTCTACTACTTACTAGATAACTGCTGATAATGTACGCTCCAAGACTGAGAATAGTCAAGGGAATCTAGGCCACAGCTAAGTAAAGACAAGTTAGGAGCTATGAGGTGAGGGCTGCAGGGATGTGTAGCTTCAAAGGCAGGATGGTAGCTTTGAAACCACATCCCAATGCCAGATCTCTCAATGGGGTGAGTGCTTTTGAGAAAGCAATTCCCTCGAGAAGATCACTTTCAATCCCAAAAGGCTTTGCTTTCAGCTCTGCCACCATGATGAATCCCCTGCCCGCTGCTGGGTGTATCGCTGAAGTGGCAGAGTGAGGCCCATGGTGGGTATTAACTGACCACTCAGTTGGCAGGATGAGGACTCCCAGACTTAATAAGGACAAGAGGTGGGAAGACAGGAAGCCCCATCCTGCCACCACCCACCCAATTAAATGTTGCCCCCAACTAGCTTTGCCTTAGGAGTAAGCATTTAATTCCACATCAAGTCCAATTCACCCTACAATGTCCCAACCCCATCCATGCCAACCTCTAGTAGCTCTAGTACGATTAACAAGGAAATACAATTTCAAATGCATAAAACCTTTCAAGGCCTGAAGTCACCTGTTACTGCAATATTCTTCTGTCTTGGATTCTAAATCTTTCATTGCTGACCATGACCTCTGTTGTCTCGTTTCCAAGCTCAGGAATTCACTCCTTATACCTCTCTACCTCACATTCTTCATTGAAGACACATAAAAGCCACATCTGTGATCAACTTACCTGTTATCTGATCAAATAATTCATGTGGCTTAGCATCGCATCTTGTGTATTCCTGTGTAACATCCTGGTGTGTTTTGTTACATTAACGTAGCCATGCAAATACAAGTTGTTGCTGTTAAGTTGATTAGCTTCAGGTGAGGCAGGTTTTGCCTACCTCTGCTCCAGTGGCAACTTCTTCTGCTGCTCCAGACATCACTCCCAGTGTGTAGAATGAGAAAACGCATAGTTCCCGAGTGCAAACCGCAGGCTGGGCAACAATAAAGGAAAGAGTGGAAATTGTCAAGCCTCTGAAATATCAAGCACCAGACAAGGGTGAGACAAGCATTAGGTCTTTGTACACTCATATGTCAGTCATAGTTTAATGCTTGTACCCTAAGTCCAGGAGTTTGAGAGTTTGACTCCCAGACAAAATCTAGGCTGACGCTTCCAATGCAGTACTGAGGTAATGCTGCATGGAATGCCCTCTCAGACAAGAGTAAAGGAATATTTCTGCCAAGAAGATCACTCAGCATCGGGACCAATATTATCCCCGAGCCTACATCAATTATTTGGTCATGAACTCAATGATATTTGTGGGAACTCGCCACCTGTTACTGCAATATTCTTCTGTCTTGGATTCCAAATCTTTCATTGCTGACCATGACCTCTGTTATCTCGTTTCCAAACTCAGGAATTCACTCCTTATACCTCTCTACCTCACATTCTTCATTGAAGACACATAATAGTGATTATAATAGTGACCACACTTGAAAGCTAGTCATAAAGTCATACAGCACGGAAGCAGAACTTTGGTCCAACTAGTCCATACTGACCATAATCCCAAACTTGCCTGCACTTGGCCCATATCCCTCCAAACCTTTCCTCTTCACGCACTTATCAAAATGTCTTTTAAATGTTTTAACTGCACCCGCATCCACCACTTCCTCTGGAAGTTCATTCTACACAAAAACCACACCCTGTTTAAAAATTTGCCCCTCACATCCTTTTCAAATCTTTCTCCTCTCACCTTAAAAATATTCCCCCTTGCCTTGAAATCCCCCACCCTAGGGAAAAGACCCTCGCTACTTACCTTATCTATACCCTTCTTAATTTTATAAACCTCTATAAAGTCATCTCTCAATCACCTACACCAGCCTATCCAGCCTCTCCTTATAACTCAAACCCTCCATTCCCGGCAACATCTTTGTAAATCTTTTCTGAACCCTCTCCAGTGGTCAGCAAGCAATTACGGATGGAGGAGAGTTTACTAAAATGAAAAAGCAAATGTGAGAAAATTAAGGACATTGATACAACTTTTCTGCAAGATTAATGCCTAGAAATGAGATTAGTTTGATCTCTGAGATTTAGGCCCGAACTCACTTGGAAGTAAAGACTAAGAACTGACCTGACACTTTACAAACATCTGTGTATGTCGCTACATATGTGTATCCATTTAAAGAGACATGTGAAAGATTGGATTCCTTTTCGTTGCCTTTCTAATTTTCGTCATTTTACTTCTGGTCGAAAGATATCCACAAATTTCTAAATTGTGTTCTTTTCTCTATAAATCCTTTAAAAAATTACATGTTTCCTCCAAGTAGAGATTTTGATTTGATTTGATTTGATTTATTATTGTCACATGTACCTAGGTACAGTGAAAAATTTTGTTCTGCATGCAGTACAGGCAGATCATGCCATACAAAGTGAATTAGGGGAAGAGAACAGAGCAGGGAATACAATGTTACGGTTGCAGAGAAGGTGCACAGAGAATGAGATCAACATTAAGTTTAAAATTTGAGAGGTCCATTCAGAAGGCTAATAACAGTGGGGAAGAAGCTGTTCTTGAATCTATTCGTATGTGTAAGCAAATTTTTATAGAGGGGAATACATTGGAAACGAAAGAAGTAAATAAAAGCTTAAAATTGACAACATTTCCTGCATCCAATTCTTGAGTTTTGGCCAAAGTTTTCGTGGAAATGTCTCTGAAGAGATGACCTCCCCTTCACTTTATCCTTCCCTGTTAAAAGACAATGGTCAACTTCCCATGTAGCAATACCATTCCTTGACCTGGTAACCTAGCCAAAATAACAAACTTGCTGCATGGGAACCCAGGAACATTGATCACTGTTCCAGGACCCCATTCTGTGTCCATCAAAACAAATTACATTCCAAGGTATGTCCCCCCTACTGCAAAGATGATACAATTGTGCTTACCTTCAACATTGACCCATTCTGGAAGACATGCTGCTCGTCACACACAACACAGTATTCATTCAGAGTGGGAATCCTCTGCTCTGCATACTTCATGGTCTAGAACAGGGAGAAACACATGAAATGCAATATATCTACTGTCAAGCATGTTTTGGGCTTTGTGAGTTTGTCATTCCTTTGAACAGGGAATTATGACCTGATTCCAGGACAGTTTGGAGGCATACATGAGAGAGGAGATTAGCGTAATAGGCCATTCAGCCCATTATACTTGGATTTGCTATTTGAAAGAGTTATCCAGTTATTTCCAACACCTACACTCTTTTCCTTTATTCATTAATGGTATGAGGACATTTCTGGCTAGGCCAGCATTTACTGTGCATCCCTAATTGTCCAGAGGGCACTTAAGAGTCAACCACAGTGCTGTGGGCCTGGAGTCACATGTAGGCCAGACTGTGTAAGGATGGCAGTTTCCCTCCCTAAAGGACATTAGTGAACCAGATAGGTTTTCCCAACAATCGACAATGAATTCATGGTCATCATTAGATTCTTAAGTCCAGATATTTTTATTGAATTCAAATTCCACCATCTGCTGTGATGGGATTCGAACTCAGGTCCCAAGAATGTTATCAGGGTCTCTGGATTAACAGTCCAGTGATAATACCACTACACCATCACTTCCCCTTGACACAGCACTAAAAATTTTACCTTTATGTATTTATCTAGTTCCCTTTTGTAAATTTCTGCACAATGCTGGAAACATTCACAACTCACTTTTGGTTACATTCTAACATCAGCTGAGCCAGAAAACTAAACAAGTGATTTAGAGCTAAAACAACATGACAGCCGAGTTCCAATGTGACCTCGGGCCATTGACCACTCAAAGCATTGCTGTAAATTGGTTGAACCTTCTCGGGGTTTGAACAATTGGCTGCGCAGGGAACAGAACAGAGATGTCAAATTAGTCCCAATTAAATCCGACGTGCTTTTGGCGCAGCAGAGAAAGCCACAGGCATCCATTAGACAGGAGGACCTATTCTCTGGACCTTGCCTCTCACATCATGTGCAATGGGAAGTTGGATAAGACACCCAAATTAGGCTAAAAGGGGAGAAATGTGTCTCCACTGAAGCTCGAAAGGCAGAATTTTGCATGGGGAATGCTTCAATCCCTACATGTCACAACATATTTAAGACATTTTCTCTTCAAATGCATTAAAGAAGCTGTGGCACAGACAGTGATGAGAATGATTCTTTCTCCTAATACACTAAAATTTAAACAGTACCTACTGAAATAACTCCTTAGAGGCCGGTATCCCATCGCTAAGTCAACTTTTATTTACACTCGCACAGTACTTGACACTGATCCAGCTAGCTCAGAGCTGACTCTTCGAGTGAGAAGAACTCCTGACACTCCTGTTTCTATCTGTCAGCCAGGGCTCCCTGATTGGACCAGGTTAACAGCCCCAATCAGGGAACTCATATTCTATGAGGTCTACCTGGCTGACCTTGTTATAAACACTACGTCTACAGAAGTTATGGCAGATCAGTACAGATAATCAGTACAGATACAGTAGTTATGGCAGAATTACCAACTCCTAAATTTTAAAGCTAACTGTAGCTTAGCCTAAAGAACAATTGTGACATTTAGTTTGATAACTGCTGAACGCTCAATGGCTAGAACTGGAGTTACTTATAAGCAGATACAGACCTACTGAACTTTAAGTGCAGTTGTAAATCTCAATCTCCCAGTCAAATGGCTGATTTTGTCTTCTTTGTGTGGTTTGATGCCACACAATGAGTTTGAGATCAAGACAGACTATTGGAGGCAGGGATAAAGGCAAGAAATGTCTTCAGGGTTAGACTTTCAAAGTAATGCTATTTATTATACATTAGTCAGAAATATTGCTGTACATGGTAATCCTAGGTATGCCAGGCCTTGATTTATCATGAAACTAGGTAAGGACTAATCTATCTACTCCTTGTGTCCATATCAATGTGCTTTCAACTCGCATTCTAGAACATTCAAACTCCACCCAATACTGTGATATTTATACTCCACGATGTGCAAATCCTTGCCATCATCTCAAGGTTGCTCCAGAGTCCTGAAACCTTAGCACAACACTTTATTGAGAGTGTTTTCCGTCTATAATAATGAGTGCCATCTGGACTGTGGCAGAAAAATAACTTGTGCTAAATGCAACATCTTTGCATGTCCAAAGCCAATTGCATAAATTACACAATCACCACATTGCAACTCACACCTTGAACTAGAAACAATATCACCTTCACAACTTTAATAACAGTGTATTGATTGAAAGAACCAACAAAAGATAAACTGTTACACACAGAAAGAGTCAGCAACAACACTGTCTGGAATAAATTATTTCTCAAGATGAAAGGGTCAAAGACAAGCTGTTACACAGAGATTGAAAGCAATGAACCATGTCTTGGCGAGATTACATAAACAAAATTGCTTTTACTCCTGCTTGATAAACTGGATGCTTTATTACCACAAAGGACAAGGATCGCCCCGCAGAAGAATTTAAGCACTTAATTGCAGGGAAAACTGTGTTTTAAACAGATAGCTAACTCCAAATGTAACAAGAAACAGAGGAGTTCTTCTGATAAGAAGGTAAGTTATAGATTTGAGGACCTCAGGAAAGTAATCAGTGTTGGGGATGAAAGAATCCATTGAATCATCAATAATGTCACACCCCAAACTTGAAAGAGAGAAAATTGTATAAGAATCCAACACCAAAACAAGTCAATAGCAGAACTTAGAAGAATAACACTGCATAAGGATTGAACATGGGATACCAGAGATAGACACTGTTGGTGAAATCCTGACCAGATTCCATCATTAATCAAGTAATAGCCAAGTTGGGTTTTGAGGCTTAACCTGCTAACTTGAGGGGTCTTAGTTTGGTTACTACATGCAATAAAGTTTAAATCATTGCTTCAGGACCTGATTGTCTGTGAGACTTCTTAATAAGTAGCCAAACTAAACATAACTTGTAGGGATTTACCCCCAATAAACTCACTGTATTCTTAAGGATTTTTACCACTTTCATTTTTGAATTGTTTTCTTTGTGCCCAAGAGTCTTTCGTTTCCTCATAACAGTCTCAAAATGAGGACACAGCTTCCTCCAGAGTTCCCAAAGAGCAGACATCTTGACTAGAAGGTTTCACAAAACTGGTCGAGAATAGAGATGGTTGCGTAATTTCTTCAGCAATCATGCCTAAAGACCATACAGTTGTAAAGGACCGTTCTAAACAAAGGGATTTAGCAGTCCCTATCCATGCTAGCATTCAACTTCATTGGTTAATAGGAAAGGCAAATGCATGTTGGCCTTTATTTCAAAGAGAATGGAGTCTAGAAGTAGGGAGATTTTGTCAAAACTATACAAGGCACTAGTCAGATGACAGCTGGAATATTGTGAACAGTTTTGGACTCCTTATCTAAGGAAAAATATAATGGCATTGGAGGCAATCCAGAGAAGGTTCACTAGTCTGATATCAGGTATGGAGGGATTGTCTTATGAGGAGAGGTTGACTAGTTTGGGCTGATAGTCATTGGAATATAGAAGAATTAAAGATGACCTTATTAAAACATACAAAATTCTTAGGGAACTTGACAGGGTAGATATGGAAAGTTTGTTTCCCCTTGTTGGACAGCCGAGGGCCAGAAGGCATAAACTCAGAAATCACACGACATGAAGTTATAATCCAACAGGTTTATTTGAAAAAACAAGATTTCATAGTCTTACTCCTTCTTCAGCTGTTAGAGCGCGAGGTAGTATCAGGCACAGAATTTATAAGTAAAAGATCAAAGGGTCATACCACTGAAGAAGATGTACTCAACAAACCTAAGATGCTATTAAATCTTTAATCAGTTAGAAGGTTTTTTAATTGATTAATATTTATATGTAAATCCCCGAATTCCTTTGAAGTCAGTATCCTGAGAGAACTAAAGGTTCTAACAGTGTAAAGAAGAGGTGATATTTTAGGTCAGACAATGCATGTTAGGTGTGAAGCCTTGTTTAGAATCTGTTTGTGTTTTGGTTTGGAGTCAGACTGGTTTTATTTCTAAAGTAGGAATGCATAAAATACCACATTGACTGCCTGTTTATAAATTGAGTGCTTTTGAACAAAATAGAATATATCTGCAAATACAAATTCACTCCATAGATTCATGTGTGTGTGAGAGAGAGAAAAACAAAGAAAGAGTGTGCATGTGGGAGGGAGAGAGAGAGACAGAGAGAGAGAGGCTGTGTGTGTGTGTGTGTGTGTGTGAGTGAGACAAATGACAATGGATTGTTAAGAATTATCAAATCAGCCATGATCTCGTTGAATGACAGAAAAGACTCAATGGGCTGAAAGGCTTGCTTTTGCTCCTACATCTTGTGGTCTTATAAAATGGGATTTAGTTGAAATAATTTGAGTGTATTAGGTAATTGTCTTCCCACTCACTGCATCTTACTCCTGCTTTAATTGGAAGACTTTGCTATAATTTTGGTCGTGAGCTGTCTCTGTTATAGTACGTAAAGATTATTTTAAATAGATACAGTTTTCAAATAGACAGCTTGCTCTAAGCCCTGCCCTGCCTCTGTTTAAGAAGCTGAGAGACAGCTCAACAGATCGACACTCCCTTTGCAATTGTAGTTCATGCTTGGATCTCTGATATTATAATTCATCGTTGCCTCTTAATTCTGTGTCACAGCATTCATTAATAGATAGCTTGACAAAACATTGAGGAGGTGTACCGAAACCACAGAGAGGGGAATAACTTGTGAATATGGTATTTGATGAAAGGGTTTGAAGGAGAAGGAGCTGAAATGAACAGACACATCCATAATGATGAGATAGATAGATTCTTGGTCAACAGGGGAATCAAAGGTTATGTGGAAAGTGCAGAAACATAAGGAATATCAGATCAGCCATGAGCCTATTGAATGGCAAAGCAGGCTTGAGGGGTCTGTTCTTATTTCTTATCGTCTCATTATAATTGGCTAACTTTTTTGAAAAAACATTCATTCGTACACAAAGCCAGCATTTCTTGCCCATTATTGACTATTAGTGCCACAACTTTCTCAGCATTTACCTGTACAAGAAAGCCGTATTCTAACGTTGGAATGTTCTTGCAGTGGCTCCCAGCCTGTGGATAAATAGATAAAGTTTGTAACAGATTGAGTAAATGGAGTAGTTCATATTTTATAAATTTATCTTTCTCACTCAGATGGACAGTGCAGCTCTGGTGTTTTTTATAAATTCTTTCATTGCATTGGGGGGGTTACCATCAATGCCAATATCGGTTACGCATTCACATAATGTGGGCATCATTGGCAAGGCCAGCATTTATTGCCCATTCCCAATTGCCAACCACATTGCCATGAGTCTGGAGTCACATGTGGCCCAGATCGGATAAGGACAGCACATTTTCTTCCCTAAAGGACATCAGTGAACCAAGTGGATTTTTGCAACAATTGGAAATAGCTTCACAGTCATTATTAGCCTCTTAATTCCAGACTTTTGTCATCTTGGGATTTAAACCCAGATCCAAGAACATTATCACTACAATGATAGCCTAGCAATAACACCACTAGGCCATCGCCTCTCCAACTGAGTGACTTACTGAGCCACTTCTGGGGGCAATTAAGAGTCAACCTCATTGCTCTGTGTCTGGAGTTACATGTAGACCAAACCAGCAGACTTTACTAAGGGGCAATAGTGAACCAGATAGCTTTTTTGCAATAGTTGATGATAGTTGTCACAGTTACCATTCCCGAGACTTGTGTTCAATTCCAGAATTATTCATCAAATTCAAATTGCATCAGCTGCCATGATGGGATTTGAACCTGTGGCCCTAGGCTTTTGGATTTCAGGCCCAGTGCCATGAGTATTATGCCACTGTCATAGCTCAGTTTAGCAAAGTCTGACCCAGTACGGCAGCCTGCTCTGAACAGGAGCCATATTGGACACGCAACATTATCTCCGATTCTCTCTCCACAGATGCTGCCAGACCGGCTTGGCTTTCTCCAGCATTTCCTGTTTGTTTCAGATTTACAGCATCTGCAGTATTTTGCTTTTAGATGACAGTCTAAATTGGATTCTTGCTAAACTGTAAAATAATTTAGAAGCTCACAGACACATGGGAATGCTTTGGTGTTGTTTCTGACCATGAGTAATTTTCCATTGGCATATCATGAATGCTTTCCATATTGTTGGAATAGAGCAAGGAGAATCCAGGTATTTGGGAACAGAAAAGACAATTTGGCAAGGATGGGGGTGGTTGTCGGCAGATACCATCAACTGCAGTACATTGTAGAATATTATTTATTGTCTAATGATTTGGTATTGTTGGTCACAGTTCCTCTGAACAATCTGTTCTGAAACATAATTCAACTGGGGAGAGCCTTTCTGCTTGAAATGAGCATAATTCAAATGAATTAACATTGTCCTCAGAAATTGAAAAGCTTTGATTTACTCAAGCCACATATATTCATCGCTTATTTATTTAAATGAACCAGCACTTGCAGATCATTTACAAAACAGCTCAGTTGGCTGGAGAGCCGAGTTGTGATGCCAACATACGGGTTCAAGTCCTGAGGTTACCACAAAAGTCCCACCTTATCAATGTTTCCCCTCGCCTGAAGCTTGGTGACCCCCAGGTTAAACTCATCACCAGTTGTCTCTCTTGTGATGATACTGTGGCTTTAAGAGGTGTGTTTTGTCCTGGTTTCTTTTAGAGAGAGAGATTGGGGGACAGGTAGCAAGTTGTTTATAAGAAGATAAATAACTTGTGAAGCCTTGGATGTTTTTTTTCAAAGTTTGGAACTATAGAAGCAGCCTGAGCGGCTGTGGTCAAACTCCCACAGAACTAGGATCATTTGTTTAGCTTTCAGCAGTTGTAGTTGGGGTCTTGATGAATTGGAAGCTATTTTTTTTTGCCTTCTCTTATTTACAGCCAAAAGCTGGGGTTTCTGTGCCTGCCGTGGGAGTTTCATATGAACCAATCTGTTTTCTGAATTTGCCTTCGCCAACGGTGTGTTTATGGGATGCTATTATATTGGAACAGTTAATTAGTAATAGTTACTGTATCTATTACTTTGTTGAGTGCTCCAATAAAGTTATTCCAATTCCTTCTTTCTTTTGCTTTAATTTAACTAAAGTGGATAAATAAAGTGCGTTCTGCTTTAAATCCAGTAGTTTGACCAATTGAATTGCATCTGGAATGCAACACCTTACATTTACCATGCAAAAAAGTTGGGGTGCAGGCTATCTTCTTAATGTATTTTGACGAGTATTGGTCTGGTCCATAACACTCTCTAATAAGAGAGCAGCCCTACGCTTCTCTGGAGCTTTGGTAACTTCACTTTCACTTTCTATTATAAAGATGGTGAGGGAGGGTGAGGGGGAACTTGCCTGATTAGTCGAGGGGATTCCAAGCAGCTCCACTTTGGGCGATTTCATGGTGCAAGAGATGGAACGATTAATGATACGATTGACTCGGAGATCTGGCACCCCGAGTTTGCTCTTCAGCATGGAGTCCTGAATGAGGGGAAAGCTTGGAGATCTGGAACAAGAGGCAGAGAGATCGTTTCATCAGCTGGCAAGAGTAGACAAACACTGAGCTGCCAGTACAGGCAGAATGGGCCGAACAGCCTCCTTCTGCATCATAACAACTTTGTGATTCTGTGACCAGAATCCACATTTCACTTTTCACGGACAACTGCTTCTTAATTGTCAATTGTGTTAATCACCCATGAAGGACCTTATTGGTGATGATAGTATCTTAGCGCTCCCACAGAAGGATTATAGTGGCCAGCGCAGTTGTCACTAGGATTTACAGCTCATTGGCTTTCAGCATGGAAAAGACTCAATTAAATCTTCTTGAGTCTCTTCCCATTGCTGGAAGTGCATGGGACAGATACAGCTCTCTGTGTCTAACACTTGTTTTACCAAAAACAGATCACTAGCTATCGTCAGAAGCTATTGCTTGAAAGGCACCACTCCACATCGAGTATTGCTGACCAGAAAGACTTCCCGTCCCTACCAATGGTATGTTGGCAGGACTTGCACTTTGATGACCAAACTACAGGGCCACGTTATGAATGCACCTCTCACCACCATCAAATCGTAGATTGAGACTCGAACTGTGGGCCACTGGCTCAGAAGGAAGGATTCTACCCACTGAGCCACCAGAACTCTCTTTTGTTCCCCATACTCTTATGGAATGTCAGCATCTCTGGCTGAATCAGCATTTATTGGCCAACCCTAGTTACCTTTGAGAAGGTGGTGGTGAGCTGCTTCCTTGAACTGCTGCAATCCATGTGCTGCAGGTACACCCATAATGCTGTTGGGGAAGGAACTCCAGGATTTTGACCCAGTGACAATGAAGGAACGGCGATATATTTCCAAGTCAGGATGATGAGTGGCTTGGAGGGGAACTTGAAGATAGTGGTGTTCCCATGTATCTGCTGCCTTTGTCCTTCTAGATGGAAGTGGTCGTGGGTTTGGAAAGTGCTGTTGAAGGAGCCTTGGTGAATTTCTGCAGTGCATTTTGTAAGTAGTACACCCAGCTGTTACTGAGCATTGGTGGTGGAAACAGTGAGTTGGGATCTGGTGAAAATCAAGTGAGCTGCTCTGTTCTGGATGGTGTCAAGCCTCTTGAGTGTTACTGGAGCTGCTCTCATCCAGTTACTGCATTGCTAATTTCCTTACTAACTAATATTTGTATTCTTTTCCCTCTGAAATCTTGGCCTAAGTTGAAAGGAAAACTAATAATGGCATTTAAGTATGAAAGAGAACAATTTAAAAATTATTACATTGTCTATGTTAAATTTGATCTTCACTTTGTCACTCAGACTCTTTTGCATGTACGAGTTATTTCTTTTGGCCACAGCAATGCGTAAAAGACGCAAAATAGCTGTTGCCATAAACTTAGAAGTGAACCTGATATTTGAACCACCATTTGGTAAAGTATCATCTTTACCTCTCATTCTTTATTCCGTCTCTCAGTTTGGTTGAGACAGCAGCAAGGTGGCACCATTGTAAATTGCTTCCAACGTCACTCTGTAACAGGGCACCTCGAGGGTAATAAAGGCATCTGGTTCAGGAGTGATGGAACCCTTTTCTACCCCTCAACCATTGTGAGGGTGGACTTAAAGCTCTACTAATGATTTTATACCTTGCAGCAAAAGTCTGGGTGAGATAAAGAAGTCATGCCACTCCTGAATAGTAGGTTGGCATAAATTGCTCCTTAAGAGATGCCACATTCAAAAGAACATAAGGGTATAAGCACTAGGAGCAAGAGTAGGCAATTCAGCCCCTCTAGCCTGTGCTGCCATTTGATACAAACATGGCTGATCTCATCTCAGCCTCAACTCCACTTTCCTGGCCATTCTCCATAAGTCTTTACCATTATACTAATTAAAAATCTGTCTATCTCCTCCTTAAATTTACTATCTGTCTCAGCATCCACCACATGTTGAGATAATGAATTCTGCAGATTCATGACCCATTGAGAGAAGTAATTCCTCCTCATCTCTATTTTATCCTAAAAATATGACTTCTTGTTCTAGATTGCCCCACATGAGGAAACATCCTTTCTATGTCTCTGTTGTCAATTCCCTTTCGCATCTTATAGACCTCAAGTAGGTTAGATGTCATTCTTCAAAATTCCAGAGTGTGTTGGCCTAATTTGCACAATGTCTCTTCAGAAAACAAGCCCCTCATCTCTGGAATCAATCTAATGTACCTCCTCTGACTGCCTCCAATACAACTATAACCCTCCTCAAGTAAGGTGACCCAAATTGTACACAATACTCCAGGTATGGTCTCACTAATGCCTTGTACAGTTGCAACAATACTTCCCTATTTTAATGAATGGAATTGTATATTGACCAGATTTTTTAAGAATTCTAACGGAGGGTGGCAATCCTTCAAAGGTTATCCTGAAGCCTCCGAGGATTAAAGATAAAGACCCTAGAAGCTGTCACAAGCAACTTTAGAGAAAACAACACTTGATTTGGAGACAGTAAGGACTATAGATGCCGGAAGCCAGAGTGAATAGATATGACTATCGGACTATAGGACTAACGTAGTAAAGTGTTTGAATAAAAGAGACAAAGAAAATCAGGAGTTGCCCATAGATGTGAAGCTGGAAATGCACAGCAGGTCAGACAGCATCTGAGGAACAGGAAAGTCAACATTTCCGGCCAAATCCTTCAAGAGGATAGTGTCCTGATGAAGGGTTTCAGCCTGAAACATTGACTTCCCTGCTCCTCGGGTGCTGTCTGACCTGCTGTGCATTTCCAGCTTCACATCTATTGACAACTCCTGATTTTTATTTTTGTCCATTTTATTCAAACACTTTCCTACATTAGTCCTAAAAATATCTGGGGAGTTGGAAAAAGGACAGATATTTCACTGACCAGGTAGCCAAGTGATGACACTTCCAAGAACACATGCAATTAAAGCTGGTGACTCTTCTCTACTGAGAGTCAAACAAGGTTTTCCTTAATGCTATCATTTTTGTACAGAGCCCCCCCCCCCCGGTGCCCCTTACTTTGGGATTGATGAGAAGATGCTGAGCCCAGATCGAAATTTCTTCACTCTACTACTCGATTTGAACCAGCTCTGCCTTTTCTCTTGTTGGCGTTTCAGAAAATCATTGCTTAGGTGCTTCCACTGTTGAGATGTGAACATTCCTAGGATTCTGTGAAAAGAACAAACAAAGGACGCTGCCCATCCATTCTCATCACACAAACATCTCACTTCTTCTCCATCCCCAAAAAACAGCTAACACTTTCCTTAGCAGCTGTGCCAGGCCCACCATCATCCCTTGGTCAGGACATCTACAAAATACATTCAAATAATTGTCAATCTCATGAAAAAGTCAAACCCAGACTTTAGTCCCAAAAATCTTTACTTTCTCATTTTAGTTTTGGGAGCTGGGTTGGTGGCAGCAGTCCAGTGAGACTCTTTTTTCAACATTTCTCCTTTCTCATTTAAGTTACCAGGAATAAGAGAAATTGAAACAAAAACAGAAATTGCTGGAAAAGCTCTACAGATCTGGCAGCATTGGTGCTTTCGCCAACTTATGGTCCTCACTGTAAGCTATTCTTTTTCCTTAGTATACTTTGTCTCCTTAACATCTTTTCTTTGTCTCCTTTGTCAATCCCCTTTAGCATCTTACCTGCCTCAATTCAATTGGATCTCATTTTTCTAAGCTCATGAGTGTGTAGGCCTAAATTTGTTCAATCTCTCTTCAAACTAGTGAACCTCCTCTGAATTATCTACATTTCAGTTGCATCCCTCCTTAAGTAAGGGGACCAAAATTGTGCACAATATTCCTGGTACGGTCCCATTAATGCCTTGTACAGCTGCAGCAACGCTCCCCTACTTTTACGAATGGAATCATATATTGACCAGAAGTTTTAAAAAAACTATCGCAGGGTAACCAACCTTCAAAGGTTGTCCTGGAGCCTCCAAGGATTAAAGATTAATGAGCTCGAAGCTGTTGCAAGCAATTTAGGAGAAAACAACACTTGATTTGTTTGCCAAATGGGTTTTGCACTGGGTTCTAGTGGAGTTCCAGCAAAGCGCCACAAGAAAGTCAAAGGAAATTTCAGGATTTTGTTTTGAACTTTGATTTATTTGCCAAACATTTGTGAAATGGTTTTAGCTCCTTCTCTAAATTTTGTTTTGTAGGGTTGGCTTTTGGGAACTGAAACATTTGACTGACTGTCATTGTCTCTCTCTGGGTTCTATCTCCACCTACCCACTCAGTCTGAAGTCTGGTTACGTGCATTTTAATGAAGTTTTACAACTTTTGAAGTAAACCTTTGAGGGAGGGATCAATAATTCAGGGGGAAAAGAGGTAGATAAAGAAACTGTGTCGTTGCCTAGTAAAAGAAATTCAAGGACACACAAAAAGACAGGAAAAGGCATGTGCATGGGGAGTGTGGAGTGGGTGTGTGAGGGATTGTAGGGGTGTGTGTAGGTGAGGTGCTGCATCAGTCCTGCATTACTGCTAGAAGCTGAGTTTAAGGAACTCATATCGTTGCTCTGAAGTTGAAATAATACTGAATTTAGTTTCATTGTAAGTGTCTTAGGGAGAGATATCACTGAAGAAAAAGCATCTAGTGAATGCACAGAAGTTCATAAAAAGGAAACCAGTTGTAATTGTTCCAGCCTGAGCAAGAAGCCTTGGTGTGGACATTGTGGTCGAAAGTCACTAGGTTGTGAGCATTTTTAAAGATAGTGTGAGTTTCAATCATTTTTCTAGTGTCTTTAGTGGAACCTCCCCCCAAACATTTTTATCTTGTGAAATAGAGTCATGTATTTTCTTTAACAATAAAGATTTTATTCTTTGCATTAAAAGTGCGCTAGCAGACTCTTATGAATGATTCTTATACAAAAAAAATACAAACTCAAGGTCTAACAACTCAGACTTCAATCTGGGATCTGGCTTGTACAATATTAACTTCAGCTGGACTCATAATAATGTCAAGCTACCACACTACGCCCTTTGTGCTTGTCTTCTCTCATGGACAGGAAAATTGCAGGATACATTGAATGAGGCCATTATGTGGCGGTTCATTTTCCATTCAAGGATTTCAATAGGATTAAAATTGTGCTGGCTGCCACCAAAGCCTTACCTACCCCTTGCTATATTGGAGGCCCCTCAAGGCATGTGACAGGAAGACAATGGGCTACCAATCAATTTATTTTACATGACCCCTCCTGTTCAAATCAGCTGTTTGGGAGCCATAAAATTGACCTTACTTTGTATTGTGCATATGTTTTACATGCACTGCCTGATCTCTTACAGTCATGCTTGGTGAGATGCAAGTTATGCTGATTTATAAATAGAAGGTTGGAATTAATGACAATATGATAGCAATGTTTTTATAGATCAGTTTGACACTTAAAGAAAATGCAGATAATTTGCAAGTTTTTGATTCTCTTTTGAGAGATGCACTTATATAGCTACACATATAATTCCTATGCAATTACTTGTAATCATGATTTTAAAAGATAACATTATGTTATAAAGAGAATGTCTTGCATTTAGCTAATATTTTTAACAGTCTCGGGATATTACAAAATGTTATACAACCAATGAAGTGTTGTCACTGTTTCAAATAAGGGCATGCAAAAGCAGTTGCACACAGCAAGATCCCACAAAGCAATGATCACTGATTTTCGTGAAATTATTTTGGAAACTTGTACTCACTTCTTCAGCTGAAGTCCAAGACCAAATCCCTCTTTGTTGGATGGCTGGAAAACATCTACCGATGGCTCTGTTGGGCAATTAAAATAGCATCACTGTGAAGTCTCATGACAATGACTACTGGGTCAAACAGATACAATCAACTTTGCATCAACACTCTTTAAATGCACCTGAATTGAATATTGAAAAACTGAAAAATGGGAAGAAGCAAGGTTTACTCCTCCAAAGAACATTCTCACTCCAAGGCTCTTCAAAGAACCTAACAAAAGTGAATTAATTGGAAAATGAAGGGAATGAGGTGGCCATTTTGTGCACAGCAAGATCTCACAACCAGTTATGAGTGGCTACTCTTTTTTTGTTGAGGAGGAAATATTGGCCAAAACACCAGTGGAACTCTCCTGTCCCCTTTAATTAACACCACATTATCAGTGCTCCATATTATTTGACTAGAGAGAGAAGCTCTCCAATTAATATCATATCTAAGAGACAGATCAGCCATCAGTACTGTACCGGAGTATCAGCATGGGTAACAGGGTCTGGTTCACAATGAGAACTTGAATGCATAGGATTTTAGTTTGAGTCAACAATAGTAGAGTTCTGAAATGACAGCAGGAAATCCTGGAAAATATTTAACAGATCATCTGAGGGAAAGAAACAGGATTAGCTTTGAGGCAATAAATGCTGACCTATGGCTAGTAATATAGGGGCCTAGATTAAATATCCTGCGTATATGGGCTCAAAGCTCGCCATAGCAGCTTGTGGAATACAAGTATAATTAATTAATCGAACTGGAATTGAAAGCTATTCTCTGTAATGGTGACCTTGAAATGTTCATCAGTTCCCTATCAGGGAGGGAAGTCTGCCACCTTTACCCAGTCTGACCTACCTGTGACTCCAGACCCATAGCGAAGCGGTTGGCTGTTAACCACCCTCTAAAATTATTGAGTGAGCTACCTAGTTCAAGGGCAATTAGGGACGGGCAACAAATGTTGACCTTGCCAGCAACACCCACATCCCATGAAAGAATAACCTTCTTGGAAAAAAAGGTCAGTCACCTTTAAAGACTTGGTCTTGTGAATATATAACATTACTTGGAGTTTAAGATTGCAATAGTTTCTTGCTCAGAATGTGTCTTTGTGAAGAGAATGGTAAAGGAAGCTGCGTTCTTTTATGGTCATAGAGTCACGCAGCACTGATCTACGGCACAGAAAAAGGCCCTTTGACCCATGGAGTCCATGCCAGTCACACACCAATCTCAGCAAAGTTTCAGTCACATGGTCAATGTTTGATTCCATACAACTGACAGGTGTAGAGCAATGGGCATTAACTAAATAATCCCCTCAATACCTGCAATATGTTAAAATGGTGAATAGTTCTGCAGTGAATGGCACATCTGTGGAACAACTTGCGATCATTTTACATGGCAAAAAATGCTTTATAAATGTAAGTTACTGGAATATATTTATGCACCTATTGAAAAGATATTTTACCTAAGAAATGAATCAGCCCTTGATAGCTCAATAGATAATGCCTAAAACAGGTCTTATAATTAGCAACATATAATTTACTTGACAACGTATTATCTTCTGCAAAGGATGGAGACAGAGAGAAACTAATTGCTGCTGATTTGCATTATTTATGCCTTATCAAGTTATATCTTAATTCTACCGTAAAATGTGGCGGTTGCTAGCAAGACCAGCATTTGTTGTCCATCCCAAATTTACCTTGAAATCATCCATTATAGAAGGCAGCAATGTGTTAAACAGTAACATTGACCTGAAGGCACATGTGGACCAGACCAACTCAAGATGGGAGCATTCCTTTCCATAAAGCACATGAGTGAGGCCCCACTATGTGTGGTCTTCTTGCTGAAGATAAATGGGGTTTGTTCAGTTACTGGATCCTCCCAGTGTCTCAAACATATATGTTAGCATTGTATGTATAGAAAGGTCTTTGGTTTTGTTTTGGAAAGAGTCAAACTCTGATGTTAGAGATTTGTTTCCTTGATGTGCAAATGTACAAACAGAACTGTGTTTGTAAAAGCCGAAAGAACTGTGGATGCTATAAATCAGGAACAAAAACAAAGTGGCTGGAATAGCTCGGCAGGTCTGACAGCATCTGTGAAGGAAAAAACAGAGTTAACCTTTTGGATCCGGTGACCCTTCCTCAGAATGGGTCACTGGACCTGAAACGTTAACTCTGTTTTTTCCTTCACAGAACTGTGTTTGTGACTAGTTATATATACAAAGATATTTTTTATGAATAAAGTATATTTTTGAAATGTAAAAAAAAATGAAATGTTCGATCGGACTACATGCTGAGGAATGCACTGAAGCTTGGGGCAGCTACTGCCAAGGTGCAATGAGGAAAGACCACTGTCTGAGATCTTTCTGCCAAAGTTAAATAGGGGCCCGTTCAGTTATCGGAACCTCGTCGTGCCTCAAAAGCACATAAATATAGTCTGGTTCAAGTAAGAGATGCCTTTGGTTTGTTTGGATAGTGTCAAACTCCAGTGTTTGTTTGTTTCCTTGATAGGCTACTGTACAGAACCAAACTGGACTACGTATATATAAAGAGATAGTAAGAACTGCCGATTCTGAAGAAGGGTCCCGACCCGAAACGTCAGCTTTTCTGTTCCTCTGATACTGCCTGACCTGCTGTGTTCCTCCAGCTCCACACTGTATTATCTACGTATGTATAAAGATTTTTTATGAGTAAAGTGTTTTTTTGAAATTAAAAAAAATGATAGATGCCATGGTTACCATTATTGAGACTAGTTTAATATTCCAGATTAATTAATCTGAATTGAAATTCGACCAGTTACTGTAATGGGATTTGAACCCACGCCTGTTAACCTAAGCCTTTGGTGATATTATAGGGTACTCACATTACTACTACATCACCATCTTCCCACAGAATGGCTGTCCTCTGTGCACTATTGGTTTCAGAGATTTGCCTGTGAGGCAATAGCCTAGTGGTATTATTGTGAGACTATTAATCCAGAAGTTCAGCTAAAGTTCTGGGGACCTGGCTTCAAATCCCACAACGGCAGCTAGAATCAATTGAATCTCTACAGCATGGATACAAGCCATTCAGCCCAACAAATCCACACTGACTCTTCAAAGATCATTCCAACCAGACTCACACCTGTCCCTGTAACCCTACATTTCCCATGGCTAACCTGCACAGACCAGGACACTGTGGGCGATTTACCATGGCCAATCCACCTAATGTACACATCTTTGGACTGCGGGAGGAAACCTATACAGAAACGGAGACAAAATCCATACAGACAATCCCTACACCAGGGCTGGAATTGAATCCAGGTCCCTGGTGCTGTAAGGCAGCAGTGCTAACTACTGAGTTAACAACCAGAATTAAGGGTCTAATGGAGTCAACTGTCAGGAAAAAACCCAGCTTGTTTACTGATGCCCTTTAGGGCAGGAAACTGACACCCTTACCTGGCCTGGCCTACAATGTGGTTGACTCTTAACTACCCTCTGGCCAATTAGGGATGGACAATAAATGCTGGCTCCAGCCAGAGATGTCCACGTCCCGTAAGTGAATAGAAAAAAAAGTTGATAAGTCAAGTATGGAATTCACTGGGGAAAATTTCAAGAAGAAACTTTAATGAAATTCACAGTCATTACTTACCAGGTCCATCCAGGTACTGAGACAGAGAAAATCTCAGCCTGAGTACCATGGGCTCAATCCTTGCCACCTTCCAGGCTGTTGCTATCTCTTCCTGTTAACAAATTACAATTGATTACTCACAACAAAGCTCTGCTCTGTGGACACAGTTACAGTCAATTAGTTCTAGCTTAATATCTGATCCTGAAACTACCAGGAACTATTTTGTAACTGAAATCGAGCAAAATGCCTGCACTTAGGTAGATCTTAATGGACAATGTTGCTTAGCAACCTAAAAATATAAAGTATGTACCACATAAAGATCCTTAGACCCAAGACACCAGGTCCATCCATTGAGATGTAGAAAAGGTATTGCATCAAAAACTCTGCTCAGGTAGTTAATCTATAAATGGCTGAAGCAGTTGGAAGAAAATCTCACTGCTGCTGAATTTTGTTGTTGGAAGAGTATCAAGCCTTTTGGCCTTTCTTCTCTGTTCCTTGGAAACTACTCCTGTATTGTTCAATAAATGTAGACAAGTTGAAGTCTTGCCGTTTAGGATTAGGTAAGAGGGGACACCCTGGTGGGCCAGGTGCCTGTGTGATAATTGTTTTTTTTGGTTCTACGGCTTCTGATCTAATCTCCATTGAATCTGGAAATAAAGGTTATGCTAACACTGACTGCTGAATATACAACTTGCACTGCCTGAAGTAAGTGCCATTGTCAAGTTCACATCAGGGCTGCCTTTATTTTTGACTTCTTCCTTCACAGCTCACTTTTTCACTCTATTCATGTTAATGTGCACTTCCTTTTCTATTGTATTAACACGGGGCTTTGATAAAACTAAAATGAATCCTGGCCTGGGCACTTGAAATTTTTCTAATGTCTTATTGAAAATAATCTGTTATAGGTCAGAACTCAGACAACAACGAGATGGAGTACAGGAAGGAGATAGACTGCTTAACAGCGTGGTGTAAAGATAACAATCTATCCATCAATGTCAGATAATTGAAAGAGCAGGTCTTTGACTTCAGGAAGCAAAGTGGAGGGCATGTCCTTAACTACAACAATGGTGCTGAGGTGGAGATGGCCGAGAACATCAAGTTCTTGGGAGTCATGATCACCAACAATCTGTCCTCGTCCATCCACGTTGGCACAATGGGTCTAGAAAATGCCTCTACTTCCTCAGGAGGCTAAGGAAATTCAGCATATACACAAGGTCTCATCCATTTTTAGAAATGCATCATAGAAATCATCCTATCTGGATGCATCACAGCTTGATATGACAACTGCTCTTCCCAAAGACCGCAAGAAAACTGCAGAGGGTTGTGAACACAGCCCAGTCCATCGTGCAAACCTGCCTTCCATCCATTGACTCCATCTACACTTCCCACTGCATTGGGAAAGCAACCAACATAATCAAAGACCCCCTCCCACTGCAGTTATACTCTAATGCACCCTCTTCCATCGGGCAGTAGATATAAAAGTTTGTATACACATAGGAACAGATTCAAGGACAGTTTCCTCCCCTCTGTTATCAGACTTTTGAATGGACCTCTTTAATGTTAATGTTGATCTGTCTCTGCACCTTCTTGGCAGCTGTAACATTGTATCCCACACTGTGTTCTGTTACCCTAATGCACTTGTATAGGGCAATCTGCCTGTAAATCATGTAAGACTACACTTTTCACTGTATCTTGGTACATGTGACAGTAATAAACAAAATCAAAGCAAATTACTTGCAGTTTTTTCAACATTCCCATTTTCAACACTATCCAACCATTACATATTTAATGCATGTTAATTGCTGATGGGCAATAGTAGGTGACTGTACCATATAAAGTTACTGTAACTACTCATTAGAGGCTTGGACCCATAGCTCGAGAAATGTTCATTCAAATCCTACCATAGGACTTAAATTAAAATAATAGCTCTAGATTAAAATTCTGATTATTATGAGTAATCAAACTGCTGTTGTGTTGTAAATCCCATCTGATTCACGAATTTACATCATGGGAGGAAATCTGTCATCATTACCTGGTCTGACCTACACCTGTCTTCACGCCCACAACCATTGTAGATTCATAGAATCCCTACAGTGCAAATAGAGGCCATTCAGCCCATCAAGTGTGCACCAACCCTCCAAAGATCATCTCACCCTATCCCTGTCACCCCACATTTCCCATGACTAATCCAACTAGCCTGCACATCCCTAGATACACTACAGGGTAATTTGGCATGGCCAGTCCACCTAACCTGCACATCTTTGGACTGTGAGAGGAAACCAGAGCGCCCAGAGGAAACACACACAGACACAGGGAGAAAATGCAAACTCCACAAAGACAGTCACCCAAGGCTGGAATCAAACCAGGGCCCTTGGTGCTCTGAGGCGGTAGAGCTAACCACTGAACCACATGCCGGCCATAAATGTGACGTTGGTCTTACCCTTGCTAGCAAGCAATTCAGTTGCATCAAACTTCTACAAAGAAAAGCATTGACACCAACACTAGATAGTAGGCAGCAAGGACAATTGATGAGCATTCAGTATTGGTGTTGCCATCCTGAAAACAAATTAGAAATGAATTGAATCTTTTTTGTTAGCCACACAAAATCTTCATTGGAGCTAACTGATGTTCAGTCTGTTGCAGTGTGTGGTATTTTGATTTGCTGTTTGGGAGTTGGAATGTAAATGCTGCTGGAAAGATCACTTTCCTTTGATGTCAGACCCTGTGTATCCCATGGCTTCTTTCCACATGCAATAGATGGAGAGGTGACAGTCCAGTGGTATTATTGGTAAACTGTTAATCCAGTGATCCAGGGAATAATCTGGAGACCTGGGTTCAAATCTTGCCATGGCAGATGGTGGAATTTGAACTCAATAAAAATATGGGGTCAAATGATGACCATGAATCCATTGATGATTGTCAGGGGAAAACCCATCTGGTTCCCTTTAGGGAAGGAAATCTGCCATCCTTACCTGGTTTGGCCTACCTGTGACTCCAGACCCACAATGTGGTTTACTCTTACCTGCCTTCTGGGCAATTAGAGATGGGCAAGAAGTGGTGGTTAGCCAGCAGTGCCCACATCCCATGAACAAGTAATGAATAAAAAGTTGCAATGGCATACTGCAACCTAGGAAGCTTAAATTTCTGCTGATTTTTACACGCAAGATGGGTGGACAACGGGTAGCCGATGATAGTCGTTTGTGAATTATCTGGATATTTACTGTGTAGGTTTTCTATGGAATTTTTCTGACTCATTGCAGCTTCTATCAAAGAGATAATGCACCAACCTTTCTTAACTTAGAGCCATAGAAATGTAGTCCAGAAACTGACCCTTTGGTCCAATTCCTCCCTGCCAACTCGATACCCTAAATTAATCTAGTCCCATTTGTCAGCATTTGGCCCATATCCCTCTAAACCCTTCCTATTCATATACCTATCCAGATACCTTTTAAATGTTGTAATTGTACCAGCCTCCAACACGTCCTCTGGCAGCTCATTCTAAACATACACCACCCTCTGTGTGAAAAAGTTGCCCCTTAGATGCCTTTAAAATCTTTCACCCTCTCACCTTAAACCCATGTCCTGTAGTTTTGGACTCCCCTACCCCTAGGAAAAGATCTTGGTTGTTCACCCTATCCATACCCCTCATGATTTTGTAAACCTCTACAAGGTCATCCCTCAGCCTCCGATGTTCCAGAGATAATAGCCACAGCCTATTCAGCCTCTCCCTATTGCTCACAGTTGCCCAGAAGCAACTTAAATCTCTTTTTCTGCTGGTTAGCTCACAAATGAAATTAAACTTCAGTAAATCCAACCAGTGTCTGAATGATTCTTGAAACAACAAGTCAGCACAGATGAATTAAATATCAGCCAAAAGGTAAAGCCCTGAGGCAGTGTTAGCTTCATTGAAGTAAGCAAATGACAGTAATCTTCCAAAATGAAGATACATACAGTGACTCCCCAACCAGTAGGACACAAGTTAGGCGAGACCATGCAATTATTAGATGTGAAAATATAAGCCTTGGGATCTGCCTTGAAGTTTCATTGAGTAATGGATTTCTGTGTTTTATTTTAGAAGAAAAATGTTTCTTCTTCCTCTCAGCTGGAGCTGGTTGGCCCTGGTTAGGTGTATGACCTGGTTGGAGATAAAGCATCTGTTGTCAGACCAGCAGCAGCTTAAACTAATGCAACATATGGCACAATTCATCTCCCGTTCCCACTTGCATTCTATCCTCTCTGTTCCTACCTCAATTGCTCCACCAGATCGAGTGAGCTATCGACTCATGAATAAACGGCCACAGAGCACTAATTTCTACTTGAATGATTATAACTGTCACAAAGCCTGTACGCAAGAAATGATGCATCATTCAATCCAAACCAAACTAACCATTCAGGCTGACGTCTTGCAATGGACAGGAACAAAATAAAATCTCAGCCTCTCCTAACCAAACTTCTGATTGTGTAGAATTGAAATTGTTCCTTTCATTAACAGTATGTTATTTATAGTTGCATTACTAACCCCACTTTGTTCACTCCAATTGTTTGTTTTCCCTGGGAACTAGCTGTCACAATAAATATATTTCAGTGATGGTCACTTCTCGAGTCATTGAGTCAAACAGCATGGAAACAGACCCTTCAGTCCAACTTGTCCGTGCTGATCAAGTTTCCTAAACTAAACTAGCCCCACTTGCCTGTGTTTGGCCCATAACCCACTAAATCCTATCCTATTCACGTACATGTCCAAATGTCTTTTAAATGTTGTAACTTCATCTGTATTCACGACTTCCTCTGGCAGTTCATTCCACACACACATCACTTTGTGTGAAAAAGTTCTCCTTCAGGTCCCTTTTAAATATTTCTCCTCTCACCTTAAAAATATGCCCCCTCGTTTTGAATTCCCCAATCTGGGGAAAAGATCTTTGTTATTCACCTTATTTATCTCCTTTGACATCTTATAAACCTCCATAAGGTCACCCCTCAGCCTCCTACGCTCCAGTAAAAGAAGTCTCAGTTTATGACTCAAACCCTCAACATCCTAGTAAATCTTTTTTGAACATCCTTCAATATAATAATATCCTTTCTATACCAGGACGACCAGAACTGTATGCAGTACTCCAAAAACAGCCTCACTAACATCCTGGACAACCTTAACATGACACCCCAACGCCTATCATAGATATCCTTCAGGGTGGAAACAGAACATTCAGGCCCAATAAGTCCACACTGATTTTCCAAAGAACATCCCACCCAGACTCCTCCCCCCTACCCAATCCCTGTAACCCTACACTTCCCATGGCTATACTCAAAGGTTTGAGCAATGAAGTCAAGTGTGCTAAGCTTGTATCAGAGATAGTAGGAACTGCAGATGGTGGAGAATTTGAGATAACAAGGTGTAGAGCTGGATGAACACAGCAGGCCAAGCAGCATTGTAGGAGCAGGAAGGCTGATGTTTCGGGCCTAGACCCTTCATCCTCGCAGTGGGGTTAAAATTGTATCAGAGATAGTAGGAACTGCAGATGCTGGAAAATCTGAGATAACAAGGTGTAGAGCTGGATGAACACAGCAGGGTCTAGGCCCGAAACGTCAGCCTTCCTGCTCCTATGATGCTGCTTGGCCTGCTGTGTTCATCCAGCTCTACACCTTGTTATCTCAAGTGTGCTAAATGCCTTCTTTACCACCCTGTCTACCAGTGACGTAACTTTCAAAGAACTATGTACCTGAACTCCTAAATCTCTCTGTTGACCACTTGATCATCTTCGCTCTGGATGTTGCTCACAAAGGTGCCAATGTATGTGATCCCCAAACACTTGACTGGTTGAATGAGTTTTCTTTAATTTGGTCATGGGATGCAGGTATTACGGGCCAGCTTTTATTGCCAAACCCTAACACTGAGTAAACCATATTGCTGTGGGTCTGGAGTCACTTATAGGCCAGGCCAAGTAAGGATGGGCAATTTCCTTACCTTTAAAGGGCGCTAGTGAACCAGATATGTTTTTACAGCAATATACAGGGGTTGTTATTAGAATAGATTTTTATCCAAATTTTAAATTTCTGACATTGAACCCCACGCCCTCAGAACATGAGCCTGGAACTGTGGATTACTAGGCCAATCATATTGCTACTACGCCACCAGTTACCCCATGTGACCAAGTGGAAAAGAGGAGTTGTTGCACAGTCCCTCAGCAATGCCAGAAAGTAGGAGGAAGCTATTTGGCCCATCATATTCAAAGTAACCCGCTTGATTGGCACCACATCCACTCCTTCCACCACAGACGCTCAGTAACAGCAGTGTGTACTATCTACAAGATGCACTGCAGAAATTCACCAAAGTTCCTTAGACGGTATGTTCCAAACTTATGCCCACTTCCACCTGGAAGGGCAACAGCAGCAGGCATATGGGAACACCACTACTTGCAAGTTCCCCTCCGAGGTACTCACCATCCTGATGTGGAAATGTATCACTGATCCTTCAGTGTTGTAGGATCAAAATCTTGGAATTCCCTCCCTAAGGGCATTGTGGGTCAATTGCAGCAGTTCAAGAAGGCAGGTCACCACCACATTCTCAAGGGCAACTCGGGATGGGCAATAAATACTGGCCCAACCAATGACACCCATGTCCCATGAATGAATAATAAAAACAAAAATAATTTCCACGCCAAATTAGAAAAAGCTAATCCTACCTTTGAGCTTTTGGTCTGTTGCCCTGAAGGTTGATGGCACCTCGTGTTCATTCTTTAAAATGATACATTATAGATTTCTATCTAATTAAAGATGCTAAGGTTTGCTATAGCCCTTTGTGAGTATGTGTGCATGCTACGCAAAATAATCTGCAATGTGCTTCAACCAAGGAAACCTGTAAACAATTTGCGAATGCAGCTTCTTTCAAAAATAGGCCACACTTGCTGACACCAAGGAGTGTACACATGAGCACCAAGATATAAAAGCAGAATTAGGCCATTCAGTCCATTGAGTCTGCTCCACCATTCAATCATGGCTGATATGTTTCTCAGCACCATTCTTCTGCCTTCTCCCCATAACCCTTAATCCCTTTACTCATCAAAAACCTATTTCTATCCTAAATACTGGACAAAAACTGAAACAACTGCAGATGTTGTAAATCAGAAACAAAAACTGAAGTTGCTGGAAATTCTCAGCTGGTCTGGCAGCATCTGTGAAGAGAAATCACTGAACTTTCTTTTCTGATGAAGGGTCTAGGCCCGAAACGTCAGCCTCTCTGCTCCTATGATGCTGCTTGGCCTGCTGTGTTCATCCAGCCCTGCACCTTGTTGTCTCGGATTCTCCAGCATCTGCAGTTCCTACTATCACTGAACTTCCTGTTCTGAGGAAGGGTCACTGGACCCGAAACGTCAACTCTGATTTCTCTTCACATATGCTGCCAGACCTGCTGAGCTTTTCCAGCAACTTATGGTTTTGTTTCCATCCTAAATACACTCAATTACAATCACATTATCAATGATATCTCTTATAAATATAATGACAAATATTTACAAGTAGTAATTAAGGACAATATTTTAATGAAACAGTCTATCAGGTCACAGAAGTAAACTATAAAGCCAAGGAAAACTTTTATGCTAAATTTCAAAAATGGGCACAATGGAAATAATCAGCGAATCTTACAGTAAAAACAACATATCAATTAGAGTATTTTAATAAACCAGCACATTGTGATAGTATTGTTTTACAAGTGATTAGGTAAGTAAAGTGTAAAACAAAGTAAAAATTTTTTTCTTTTCATGTTGAATAACTGTCCTGATATTGTGCTCATGTGTGGTTGTTTTAGTGTCAGCAGATGCTTCTGTCAGCAAACAGATCCTAAAAAAAATTACCGTCTTTCAATTGAGAACAATTCACCACATCTCTCTGTTGCCTATCATTTACAATCCATGCATGCTGGATCATAATTGTGATGTTTAACCTTCACCTGATGAAGCAGCAGCGCTCAAAAAGCTTGTGATTTTAAATAAACCAGTTGAACAATAACCTGATGTCGTGTGATTTCTGACTTTATCCAGTCCAGTCTAACACTGGCGTCTCCACATGATGTTAAACAGTTACAGTTTAGCTTTGCTCAAAATGGACTGTCCCTCTAACCCCATGATTTGATTGGCCTCATTTTGAGAATCAACTGGACTCAGCACATTATATTGTCCACAGACTTGTAAATCCATGATTCCTGACTTATGGAAGTGGCAGGCTATTAAATTTAGGAAAACAACAATCAAGGATAGGTTTTCAACTGTTATCTTTTAAGTGACACACTCCATAACGGAGAGCTTTTATTGTATAACCTACAGTTTTCTGTTAGTATAGCCACAAGTGAATGAATTGCATGCAGTAGTATGTTACAGTTTGGTAGAGAAAGTGATACAGGCAGTAGTTACAACACCTCCAACATGTGTTCTCTAAATGCAACAGTTTTAACGTGGTCCAGCGGGATTACATTCTGCTTTCAGAAATTTTCCCTACCCATTTTGGGCTTTTACTTATTGCTCTTTATGGCTATAAATGAAGACTATACAAAGCAAAAGGAAGACTGTGCAGCAATTGACTCTAGATTCAGCACTTACGTCAAGAAAGCTCATATTAATGTGCAGGTCCACATCCACATCATCAATCGTCCCATACTCCCTGCAGGAAGAAATATTTTAAAGAAATAAATGGCAGCTCGTCAGAAAAATCAATGTTTTAGGTCCATTCAGTTATGATGCACAAAACACGTACTAGGAACATTGGAACAGGAGTAAGTCATTCAGCATCTCAAGCCTGACCTGTTGTTCAATAACATCACGACTAATGTCTCTCTTAACACTCCATTCATTTTGGCTCCATATCCTTTTGGACACTGGTCCGGCAAAAATCTCAGCTTCAAAATGTATTAACTGAACTAACATCCATTGTTTTTTTGTAGGAGAGAACTCCACAACTTGACCACCCAACCTCCTCAACAGAACGCTGACAGAACCTCCAGGGCAAATACCTGCCGTCTTTCAGTGTCCTTCAAAATTCCCAGCTTGGAACTCTCGAAAATTGTCACTTAAACTAGAACCCCTACAGTGTGGAAGCAGGCCATTTGGCCCATCAAGTCACACCACACCTCCAGACCCGAGCCATCCTGCAAACCTGCATTTCCCATGGTTAATCCACTTAACCTGTACATTATGGGCAATTTAGCATGGCCACTCCACCTAACCTACACATCCTTGGGAAGAAACCAGAGCACGCAGGGGAAACCCAACCAGACACAGGGAGAATGTGCAAACTCCACACAGACAGTTACCCAAGGGTGGAATTGAACCCAAGTCCCTGGCACCGTGAGGCAGCAGGGCTAACCACTGAGCCAATGTGCCAAGCTTCTCCAGTACTTTCTGCTTTTGTTTCACATCTCCAGCATCTTCTTATTATAGAAAATAAGTATTGGCCTTGACAGCAACACTCAATTCCCAAGAATGACTTAAATAATAAGCCTGACAAGAATGAGTGTTAGTAGGTCAAGGAATGAAACAACTAGGATATCCAAGTAAAACTATAGTCACAGCGACAAAATGTAGTCTTTTTTTCTTGGGGGCTTTTATGAAATAAACAACATTTTTCTTTCAGAAGTCAATATATCAGGCTGAAAGAACAATACGGAGAGTCACGGATGTAACTTTAATTCAGCTTTAATGGAGGTTTGCTCTTGCTGCTGTTATTTATTATCATAATGTTGGATATGAATGGGAATGGCTTGGCAGATTCGTTACCACCAATTTTTCTTTCTGGCATTAGTCTAGGCTACTGAAACCACATAGGGAAGGATGTCCACACCACACCTTAGGCTCAATCTTGAAAAGTAAATACATTTATTTCACGTTTCTTAATAGATACACAAGAGGCCTCACCCACAGTGCTGGCCCTTCAACTGACTCTGTAACATCTTCATAATCAGTGCTCGGATTTTTTGCTTCACATTTCCCTCTCAGACCAGAAATGGTTGAAATTAGAGGGAAGGCAAGTGGTATGGATGCCATAAAAAGTCTTTAGGGGCACAGCTTAAGTGAATGGGCAAAAATGTGGCAGATCAAATATACTGTGGGGAAATGTGAGGGTATGCACTTTGGCAAGAAGAATTGAGGAGCTAAATATTACTTAAATGTAGTCTGCAGAAAAATCTGCAAATTGACTTTGCAGATGATACCATTTTGTTGGGTTCTTTTGCACAGTGTTTACGGGAACATAGAGGTCTCACCTGCATAATGCACTCAGCACAGCATGATGTTTACAGGTATTTTTCCACAGCCCTAAGCCAGTGAGTTACACAGTCCGAAGAAGGAATTACAAGAGGGGGCAAAGGTCAGGATTAAGGTTCAAAGGAGGCCTTTGAAGTCATTGAAACCTTACAGTACAGAAAGAGGCCATTCAGCCCATTGAGACCGCGCCGAGCTTCTGAAGAGCATCCCACTCAAAACCAGCCCCTATCCTATCCCTATGGCTGATCCTCATAACCTCAACATCCTTGGACATTATGGGGCAAATTAGCGTGGTTAATCCACCTAACCTGCACATCCTTGGACTATGAGAGGAAACAGGAGCACTCAATGAAAACCCACGCGGACAAAGGGAGAACATAGAAACTCCACACAGTCAGTCACTCAAGGCTAGAATCAAACCCAGGATTTTTGCACTGTGAGACAACAATGCCAATCACTGAGCCATTGTACCACCCATCAGTCAATGGAAGTGAGTGTCAAAAGAGGAGTCAAGTAGAGTAAATTCGAACTGAAATCGCAGGGTTATCGGGACAGAGGGGGAGAATGGGACTGTATCAGAGATAGTAGGAACTGCAGATGCTGGAAAATCTGAGTCAACAAGGTGCAGATCTGGATGAACACAGCAGTGGGTCTGACTGGATTGCTTGAAAATGAAGCAGGCATGGAATCGATGGGCCCAATGGCTTCCTCTCGTGCCATATTGAAGGATGGCAAACTATGAGGTTTTAACTGAATGACTTTTCTTTAGCACATACTTAATACCAGTAACACGCAGCCCTGTTGTACAACGTTATCGTTAAAGCGGTTCAGACTAGTCAAGCGCAAAATACATTTGATAGATAACTTTTATAAGTATGTTCACATACTGTAATGACGGACCATAGGTTTGGCATCTCACCATATGGGGTCATAAAGCAAATGCCATCAAACATCAATAACTTAATCGAAATAGACAACTTTGAATGAAGTGCCACTTGTGTGACTGAGCGCTGTGGGTTTGGGCGTCTGTTTTGATGGGACAGGTCTAAGTTAGTATCCAAGTTTTCACTGCTATTCAGGCTCCTCAGTCAGGTTAAACCCTGTGTAGGTGTAGAGTGATCCATCTTTGAACAGACGGAGATCTTGCAGGCCCAGTCCCATACTGCAATACTAATTGGAAAGCAGCTGTTACAGAGCCGTGAGAGGATATATATCTTGAGCCACTCCATCCTTCCAGCAAATGGTCTGAAGCATAGAAGCAAAGGATGAGGGGGGAAAACAATTAAGCTAAAAAGACCTAAGTAAGGTTTTCCTTCAAAAACCACAAGAGTCTTTAGCTTTTATTCCCTAAAGATTCTCATAAAATTAGAACGAAAATGTCAGGCTGAGAAATAAAGCGTAGTAAAAATGATCAGTTCTGCAATACTTGAAAATCAGAACATTAAACACTCACCTGACAGAGACAGAATTTTCTCCATAAATTTCTTTCACCGCTTCAATGTCTGCATCGAGCTGTGGGTGTCGGTATAGATCAGCTGCACAGCTCCCCTATAACATCAGACACACGCTGTAATATATTGTCAGGCTCGCTTGAGAAAGAGCTGTGACCACAGAGGCACGCTGATGTTTTGGTCTTCCTAGGATTCACGCGAGCTCAGTCCCCTTCTCTCCCCTCACAGTCTCAGTCTCGCTTTCATTGTCTCTGTTGGTCTCTTTCTCTCTCTCTCTCTCTGTCTCTCTCACTTGTTTCCCTGTGTGAGCTTCAGTGATGTGAGTGATGTTTGAATCCAGCTTTAAAGGGGAAAGTCCATTGAAATGAATTTTTATAGCGCCCATGTCGTCGTGCTGGGAGGTTTAGTGGGTGGAGCAGGATCATGCAACAAAAGCACCATGAGTCACTCGATGGGACAGATTAAATTGCTCTCGCTGCTGCAGTGTGAGTCTCCCCCATTGCTTCACTGAAAAAGTTAGACTAAGTTGTGAAACTGGCACAATTCCTCAATGCAGCAACTTACAATGATTGTCTGGCATATTAAAGTCTTCTAATGCGTGGTTTTGTCTTTAGATTTTACTTTGATCAAAAAAAGAACTGACAGCACTGAAGCAGGCCACTCAGCCCCTCAAGTGTTTATACTCCACGCAAACTACTTCCTGACCCAATTCATCTAATGTTTCCGTTCTGTTTCTCTCATGTGTTTATATTGCTTCCCCTTAAATTTTCTCCTTCATTTCTCTAGAACTTACACAGTTAATGGTAGGGGAGTGCCGCTGAACAAAGAAGTGTATGGTTCCTTGGAAGTGGAGTTCCAGATAGACAGGGTGGTGATGAAGGCATTTGGTACATTTGCCTTCATTGGTCAGAACACACTGAGTACAGGAGTTGGGACATTATGTTGCAGCTGTACAGGACGTTGGTGAGGCCACTTTTAGAATACTGTATACAGTTTCTGGAAGCCCTTCTGTAGAAAGGATGTTGGTAAACTTGAGAGAGTGCAGATAAGATTTACACAGATGTTGCCAGGACTGGAAGGTTCGAATTATAGGGAGGGGCTGAATAGGCTGGGGGCTTTTTTTCCTTGGAGCATAGAAGGCAGAATGGTGACCATATGCAAATTTATAAAATCAGTAGAGTGATGGATAAGGTAAGTAGCCAATGTTTTTTCCCCAGGTTGAAGGAGTCCAAACTTAGACGGCATAGGTTTAAGGTGAGAGAGGAAAGATTTAAAAGGGACCTGAGGGGTAACTTTTTCATGTTGAGGGCAGTGCGTGTATGGAACGAGTTGCCAGAGTAAGTAGTGGAGGTGGATACAATTACAACAGGCATTTGGATAGTTAAATGAACAGGAAGAATTTAGAGGGATGTGGACCAAGTGCTGGCAAATGAGCCTAGGTCAGATTTGGATAACTGGTCTGCATGGATCAGTTGGACTGAAGGGTCTGTTTCTGAGCTGTATGACTCTATGACTCTGCCCAAAGGAGGAGGTCTGACCCATTATGCCATAAGTCAGGCAAGGAGGCAGGTCCTGAATCCATCTGAGCTGAAACGGGGTAGAATGCTAAAATAACTCCACAGAGGCCAGTATCCCATCACTAAGTCACCCTTCATTTACATGTGCATAGCACTTGACACTGGTCCAGCTTCCTCAGAGCCAGCTCTCAGAGTGAACAGAACCTCTGACACTCCTATTTATATCTGTCAGCCAGGCCTCCCTGATTAGACCAGGTTAACAGCCCCAATAAGGGATCTCATATTCTATGCGGTCTGCCTGGCTGACCTCATTAAAATAACTACAAACCCAATGCCTTTGACACCAACCTGATCTGGTTTGGCCGTCCATCCGATTGACCCCACTCCCTACATTTATCAAGGTGTTTGAGTTGCTGTGGCACCTTTTGCATGCAGTCTGAAGCTATTGATAGTGGTGGGCGAGGCTCCACTTTCTCCTCCAGTTTTGACACCTGCCATTAAAGTATGTTCAAAGACTCTACAGATTAACTCATAGCCTGGTGGCTGCATTATGAATGCACCTTCCTTGGCCGTTGAGTCCCAAGTTAAGACTTCAACCCAGAACTTCTGTATCAGGAACAAGGAGGCTACCCATTCAATCACAAGAAAGCGACCAAATAGCCTTCTCCTCCTCTTAGTTTCTATGTTTTTTCTTCCTGTGTTACACTGTAAATATACACTTACTAACTGCATTAACCTCTCTACCTGGTGTTACAGCCACATTCCAACTGCTTTCTGGGTGAAGAAGGTTCTTCTGAGTTCTTTGTTGGATTTATTCAACTCTACCCCACAACCCTCTGAGTGAAAGAGTTTTCCTCTAGTCTCCTCTAAACCTCCAGTCTTTCACTTTAAATGTGTGTCACTTTGTTATTGACCCTTGAACTATGTGTCAACAACTCAAAATCTAATATATCAACACATCATTGTTCATTGAATCCAGACTGGGTTTAAAAAGGTTGAACCTCAAGTTGCGTAGACTAGACTTGCATTGCCATGAATATTAAGGGTGACTGAGGGGTGATCCAGTGAAACATTTAAGATGATTAAAGGATTTCATTGAGAGCTGGAAGGAAACTATTTCCTCTGGCGAAAGAGTCCAGAAACAGTGTCAGTAAAACCTTAAAAACAGGGCTGCAACGTTCAGAGAGTTAATGGGAGAGAGCATTTCTTTGCACAGAGGGCACTGGAAATCTGTAACTCCTTCCTCCAAAAGAGCTGGGATCTGAGGCTTACACAACTAACACAGGCACATCACGCTTAGACTCAGTCCTCGATCTAATTAAGTGACAGAACAGGATTGAGGGGTTGAATGGCCTATTCCTGTTATTCTGATAGTTTAGGGGGTAAATGAGCAATGGCTGCTGTGTTACTGAGCTGAACTGACCAGGGAGGCTCCAAGCTTCTACCCTTATTCATTCTTGGTTGCTGGATGCCCCTTACAACTGCCTCAGAAAAACAAAATAGTGTATTCATTTCTGCTTCAGATCATTAATCCCCTATTGCAAAGTATGGGCATGTTTGGAACAGTTCAGAGATAAACTGCGAGTCTCCTCACAGCCAGAATTTATTCCCTGTCCCTAGTTACCCTTGCAAAGGTGGTGGCTTCCTCACAGCTAACACATGCCTCTGGGATAAGAGACAAAATCATAGAATCATAGAATCCCTACAGTGTGGAAACAGGCCCTTCGGCCCAACAAGTCCACACTGAACCTCAGAGCATCCCACCCAGACCCATCCCCCTATAACCCACCTAATCTACACCTCCCTGAACACTATGGGACAATTTAGCATGACCAATCCACTTAACCTGGGAATGGAATCACATTGTAGCTGGAGAGTGGAGGGTAAGTACAAAGTTGCAGCTGTACAAGATGCCACATTTGGAGTACTGCATGCAGTTCTAGTCACCCTACCATAGAAAGGAAATTATTAAACTGGAAAAAATGCAGAATAGATTTGCTAGGATGCGCCCTGGACTGTAAGGTTTGAGTTGTAAGGAGAGGTTGGGTAGACTAGGACTTTTTTCCCTGGAGCGTAGAAGACTGAGGGGTGACCTTATAGGAGTTTATAAAATCATGAGAGGCATAGATAAGGTAGCTAGCCAACAGATTATCCCCAAGGTAGGGGAGTCCAAAACTAGACGGCATAGGTTTAAGGTGAGACAGGAGAGATACAAAAGGGTTCAGAGGGATAATTTTGTTCACATAGAGGGTGTTGGTATGGGCTACTAGAGGTAGTGGTGGAAAGTGAGTACAATTTTGTCATTTAAGAAACATTTAGTCAGGCACATGTATGGGATAGGTATGGAGGGATATGAACCAAACACAGGCAAATGGGACTGGATTAAATTGTGAAAACTGGGTGGTAAGGGCAAGTTGGGCCAAACAGCCTGTTTCCATTGCTGTGGACCTCTATGACAAAGGTCAGGTGTTTTTTAGAGTGTTTCTGTGGCTTGGTGTCAATGAGCATCGCTAGTGCGGGTGGAACATCATCTTTATCCTCCACCTCCTGACACCAACAGCGAATTTTATCTTCAGGAGTTCCACGAAGGTCTTCCTTCATCTGCTTGGATGGGTTGCCACTCTGCATTATTGAAGGAACGTTGGGATCAGGTTGTTTAGGAGCAGCTCTTGTTGATGCAAGGACAGAGAAACAAAGGCAACAACAGAAAGACCATTGCCAAAATGGAACTTCCACATATGTGAATGCTGAAATGCAGTGGAAAATAATGGATCTGAATGTTTTTCAAAAAGCATATTTTGGCATTTATATTATTAAGAGGATGGTGATTTGGTACGAAACTCTTGCATAAATGAAAATCAAATTCTTCTACATTTTATTTGAAATCATTAATATCCCATCATTGTCATTTTGGACTCTGGGTTCATCGTGTGTCTGGTGTGTGACGATGCTGTAGCTTTAAGAGATGTATTTTATCCTTATTTTTTGGAAGAGAGGTTGTGAGACAGAGATGCTGAGCAGTTTAGCAAAACCACTAGAGTTAACAGCCTACAAGACCTTGGATTCTCTTTTAAGTTGGGACAATAGAAGCAGTCTGGATGGGTGTGGCCAGCTCTCACAAACCAGGCTTTTTTTTTATATAGCTTTTAGGTTTGGCTTTAAGCTGTTGTCATTGTGGGCTTGAAGAAGTAGAAGTTATTTTTCCTTCTCTCAACTACGGCTAGAAGCTGGGGTTTCTCTCTGTTGTTGGGTTACCTGTGAGACAAATCTATTCTTCTGAATTCGCCTTTTTGCCAAGGGGTGTGTTTATAGAATGTTACTATGTTGGAGCAGTTAATTAGTAATAGTTACTGTATCCATTATTCTGTTAAGTTTTCCAATAAGTTAAGTTATTCTAAATTTCGCTCTCTTTGGTTATATTTTAACTACAGTGTTAAAATAAATTGTGTTTTGCTTAATGTTGAGTAGTTTGACCAATTGCAACATTTGGAACATGGCACTTCACATTTGCCTTTAAAATAAGACAAAGTTAGCGGCCAGGCTACCTTCTCAAAATATTTTGAGGGTGTCTGGTCTGGTC